AAAAAACCCACGTGGGAGGCAGGGAAAGTGCAAAATGTGAACTTTCAGTTAACTGTTGGCCAGTGAAAAGGGTGCCTGTCTGCTTCCTCACTCCTCCCAGCGTTTAGAGAGTGGATTGGGAGACAGTCTTCAGACTGCCTGGTCCTGTACTGCCTGGACTGTATTTTCCCTGCCTTCCCTGAACCTTTCTTGACCTAAGAAAAAAAGAAACAAAATATTCCCCTCTAGTGGTCGAAGACAGAATAGCAGCTTCCCATTAGTTTCTATGGATGGAAAAGAGCAGATACGGATCAAATGGTTTTCAATGCATTCCTATGGGAAATGCAGATTTGACCTGAGAACTTTTTGACTTGAGAACCGCCTTCCAATACGGATTAAGTTCTCAAGTCAAGACCCCACTGTATTTTAGTAAAGCATTCCAGTTTTCACTGAACTGACTGTGCCTTATTTCTCTTCTATATCGTCTAACTTTATTAGTCATTTTTCAACATTGTATGCCAGATCTTATTCGTAAATGCTTGTAATGAGAGATCTTGAGCGTTTTCCAATTTCTAGCGATCTCAGATCTTGCAATGCCTATAAGATTTGCAACTAATTCTTTATTTTCAGGTTTCTCATTTCCCCCTGTAAATAATGAATAACAATAATGTTTCATTCATATCTATTTTTTGATTGGTCAGCGTCTCTATCCATTTAATTACCTCGCACCAGAATGCTTCTATTTTGGGGCAAGAAATCCACATATGTTCCAAAGTTCCTTTTTGGCCACAGTTCCTCCAGCATTTATGCAATAAATCTTTATTAATTCTATGTAACTTTGTAGGATATAGACACCACTGATGCACTACCTTCAGAACCATTTCTTTCACATTTGCTGATATAGATTTATATAGATATTTATTCCATATTCCTGTCCAGTTTTTCTTGGTTATATTAATATTTAAATATGTTTCCCACACTGTTTTAGGTCCTCCACCTTTTCCATATTCTTTCTCAATAATACTTTTATATATTAGTGAGGTTAGTCCTCTCTTTTTATTTTTATCTTTTTGGATACAATATTGTTCAAATTCAGTTAATGCTCTTAGAGTGCCAAGCTTTTGTTGTAAATGAATAGCGAAACTTCTTATTTGATTAATTTGTAGCCAATTGATTTTTATTTGCTTTGTTTTCTCTTCTGTTTGCCTAATAGTGAGTGGTGATGTTGAGTCATGTCAACTGGACTTCTTTCTTACTAGACTGAAACGTTTCACTACTCATCCAAGTAGCATCTTTAGTCTGAGGAGAGTTGGTAGAGGACCCTCGATATATTCTCCATTTTGGTTTCACTTCCCACTGGATTGAATAGGCTCGTTGGATGGACAAAGGACTGGGGGTGAGTGAAAATCCCACTTCTGCAGTCCTTTTCACTCACGCCCAGTCCTTTGTCTGTCTAACAGGCCTACTCAGACCAGTGGGAAGTGAAACCAACATGGAGAATATATCAGGGGTCTTCTACCAACTCTCCTCAGACTTAAGAAGCTACTTGGATGAGCAGCAAAACATTTCAATCTAATATGAAAGAAGTCCAGTTGACATGATTCAACCTCCAGATAACCTCACCTGGATGATTGAGAATCTTCACAGATAAATCAGTTATGGATTTTTGTCTTTGAAAACTTCTGACACCTTGGAGATCTTCCCATGCCTCAATATTTCAAGAAGAATTCAAAGTTTGGAAACTGTGGAGGCTAATGAGTATAAGATTAGTTTAGGCTCTTTTATCTCTTTTTCTATATGGGCCAGTAATGCTCAGCTTTCAGCCTTCTGGTATCTACCAAGCATGGCTTGTATGAAAGTATAATTTTACAGAGTTATATATCTAGTAATCTATAAGGATCATACTTTCTCTACCTGCTTTGTTTACTGGTTTTCCTGCCATAACCCCCTTTACTGATTGAAAGTAACATCTGACTGATCAGGGAAATATAGTAGTTTTGATAGACTTATGTGATCTCACCAAAACCAAGGTCCATATATTTCAATGAAATGCTTCTATCTTTTTCGGGTATTGATACATCAGATGCAATCATACATCTTGGTTGTGTCTTAGATTAGCAAATACCAAAATCTTTGAGCATCTACTTTTTTCCATGGCAGTTCATAATTGAGATCATGTGATATAGACTGGGCTCTAAGTATAATATTTATTGCACTAGTCAAAGACCATGGCAAGATAAAACAGTTACAGCCAGTCAGACTGACATAAAATAACAGTAAAAACAACTAAAATTAGGGTGAGATACATAATAAATATATAAATATACATGCATTTTAGGTACCTTTAAGCCAGTACTTTAGATCAGTGGTTCTTAACCTTTGTTACTCAGATGCTTTTGAACTGCAACTCCCAGAAACCCCAGCCAGCACAGCTGGTGGTGAAAGCTTCTGGGAGTTGCAGTCCAAAACTCCTGAGTAACCCAAGGTTAAGAACCAGTGCTTTAGATGCCTTTGAAACAATACTTAGGAGATAGATTAATCAGTTACAGGTGGTTTATAAATATTTTAAATAAAGTAAAATATAAAAAAACCCTTGTTCTCTTTGAGTAGCATTTTATTGGTGTACTGTAGATGGGCTGTATGGTTTTGAGGGCAATGCTGTTTTCATCTCTCTAAATTTCAGTCTCCTAAATTCTACTGCTAATTCATATCAAACTGTGATACTCAGGTCATAGTTGTTTGATTCAAATATCATAGGCTTTGATAATATTGCTTGTATCTGATATTTTCAAATATTATGGCAAACCCAGAAAGTCCAATTTCCTAATGATGGTTCCTGTGCTAGTCAGTGACTGTAATAAGGCTCATTCATTCATGGTTCCTGGATCTGTCCATTCCATTTAAGCTTCCTGTTACTGTCAAATATGTAAGTCACATCTGGTGATTTAGGAGAACTAAGGGAAGCAAGTTGTGTGTGAGAGACAGTTCAAAAGGAGAATGGTTATTGCTGGCTTTTGGAATTATTTCGGAGCCTAAAGCCCATGAATTTCCTTTACCATTTGTTTGCCCAGCTCTTCATGTGAAGGGAGTAAATTAGGTATTGTTGGTATTCAGGTTTATTGGTATGGAATTTCAGGAAAAATATAGAATAGAATTTCTCATGTTCATTTTTCTTAAATGACCTGCAGTGCTGTTATTAAAAGTTATACTGTGCTTACAGAATTCTCACCTTTTCATCCAACACACAGCTCTTCTAGAAGATGTTAATACTTGTCTTCAAGCATGTAGTAGTCTCCATGCTCTATCGTCTTCGCTGCCAAATGACTTATTGCAGAGGTACTTTGCTCAATTTTTTCTATTTCCAAGGCAAATATTATATTAAAAATGTGTGTACTCCTAATTAATTCTGTTTATTTTGGCACAGATGTGTTGATGTATGCCGTGTTCAGTTAGTTCACAGTACTGCCCGTATCAGACAAGCTTTTGGGAAACTGTTGAAGTCTATTCCTTTAGATGTAGTGTTAAGGTAAGTAGCGGTAGATACATAATAAGGAATTAAGTTAATCTTTAGAAAAATGGTATATAAAAGTTTTATCTTGTTATGGTATTATACTGTAGTCAAGTATTGTATCATATTTTCAGAAAGACACTCTAAACATGGACCCATTAAGCTGCCCAGAGTGGTAGAATATACCAGATGGGCGGGATATAAATCAAACAAACAAATAAATAAATAAGAAATTAGAGACAGCAGGAGAATGTTTGTATCCATGGTTAGGCTGACCTTGCAGATAAACAAAAGACAGTCTACCTGTTCTTTCCATCCCTTAGCCTCCCACTCCAAGAAGTGCATAATACATTATGGTGGTTAGAAAAGCAGAAGGTGATTTGGAGTGTAGCAACATACATGCCACCACCCACCCCTATTCATTTTTGGCGCTCCTCCACACCACAAGTCTGTCCCGGAGTTTAGCGAATGACTGACAGCAGCACCCACACATTCTTGTACCTCTTGAAACCATGGAGTTAGTTGTTGGGGGAGTTGTGCAGGTTGCTACTGCCCTTTCTCAGCTCTTTGAGTATTTTTGTACTGTGTGTGGACCTTGTATGAAACATTGGATGCAAGCTATTGGAGGGCTGGTGAGGCTATTGAATATATTGTCTTGCTTCCTACTTATATGTCCCCAAAACCTGTCAATTACTTGGGTACATGATTTCAGAAAACACAACATAGGGAGCAAGGGAAGCTTCCTTTCCCTCATATATGAATTTGTAGGATGCATGTGATGGCACAAGAAGATGGAAGAGAGTTTGTTCATTCTGACCCCAGTTGGGTTTTATGTTGCATATCCAGCCAAAGTGATTGTGGAAACACTACCATTCATTGAGTGAAATAGCCAAGTTTTCTTCGGGAGCTTCCATATAGAACGGGGACAGTGGCCTTAAAGAAAAGTTACATATTTTTGATTGATTGATTGATTGATATTTTGCAGCAACCATCACCACACAGAAATACAAGAAATCTCTTTAGCCATACGAAGTCACATGAGCAGAGCACCCAGCAATACATTTCACCCACAAGACTTCTCTGATATCATTAGTTTCATCCTGTATGGGAGTTCTCACAGAACAGGGTGAGGACATTTTTGAATTTTAAAAGATAATTGGCAATGTTCAGATTATTTTGCAATAGGTGATTGTGTTGCTTTATTAGTAGAACTTTTAGTATAATAAATAACACAACTCTCTTAAAATGTGTAGTAGTTATTATCTTGAAGTGCAAATGGACATAGTGGCTGAAGTCCTGTTTGTTCTAATGTAATACAAAGCGAGACATTATGCCCGGGCAACCAGCATTGTGCAATTGGATTGTGCAATCATTTATAGACTCTTGCATGTCATAAGAGTCTTGTTATGACTCTCGAGTGGCATACTTGTGGAAGTGCTTCGTTAATAGCATTTCCTCCTGGCTGCCATTTTCTATACTACTACAGCCTCACATTGTGCTGCAGAGCTGCACAACAGAATTTCAACCAATTCATCATGTAAAGCGAAAGACAGAGTTGTACTGATGGTTCTTTATAAGCAGCTTTTACTTTTCTTTGAAACTAAATCCGTATGAGAACCCTTAACTTGTTGAGAACAGAGGAAAAGACTAGACTGAATACTGAGAGCTGTATGCACTTGCCTTTTAACCCAAATCCTGAGAGTTTTCCATTTGAAAGCTGCATCTCAGTTTACAGTGGTGCTGGTGCCTCGACTTATGAACGCCCCTACTTAACAATGATTTCGAGTTACAACCAGCTCCAGACGCAAAATTTTGCTTCTACTTGCGACTGGGGCTTCAAGTTACGAACAGAAAAAGGCAGGGGGAAAAGGCGGGAAATGAGGCTGCTTCTTTGTAGCGCTTTCGCCCCAGCAGTTAGAGAGTGTGTGATGGGAGGAGGCGGTCTGGTAAGGTAAGGTGCTGTTTTTTGCTTTTTAAAAACTGTTCTGGGTGTTTTTGCAGTGTGGTTTTGGGCTGGGGGGTTATGTTTCTTTAATGTGATGGGTCTTGGGTTTTTTTTTGTTTTTTTGTTTTTATTTTTCCCCATTTGCAATGGGTCTTGGGGGTTTGTTTGTTTGTTGGTGCTTTGGTTTTTCCCCATTTCCGATCTGTCTTGCATGCTTCTGTTGCTTTTTGCTTTGCTTTCCCCCCATTTCTGATCTGTCTTGCATGCTTTGCTTGCTTTTCTTCCCCCCCTTCAGCCAGAATGGATTAATCACATTTCCAATGGGTCTTGCAGTGATTTGTGTGTGTATGATTTTTTCTTCGGCCGGAACGAATTAATTGCATTTCAGTGCATTTCAGTGGGAAATGGTGTTTTGACTTACGACCATTTCGACTTGCGCCTATCTTCCAGAACGGATTAAGTTCATAGGTCGAGGCACCACCATATATGTTCACTTGCATTTTTTGTCAGTGAGTAGGAAACAGCAGCAGAGGTATATTTTTAAAAACAAAGAAAATTTCTGCTAGTCTCATAATCCTCTTTTTACCAGAGGGCAAAAAGAATTTGGATGGTTATTATTTTGCATGGTGGAATTTTCTCCCAAGTTATTACTATTATTTGTAGGTTGCCAATCAGAGATTTTTACATCGACTGTGTTTCAGAAGTCACACAGAACCAAAATGTGTGAACTTTTGGGTCATATACTGTTCCTTCTTAGGTGCAGTTGCAAAGAGGTGATTAGAACTTTTACTTTCATTAATTACAAATTGGTGCTGTATCTGAAGCCCAGATTGGTTAATTAGCTAAATATAGCACTGTTTTCCTATAGTGGTATCCAGGTGTCTGTGGTAAGATTGCAAGTAGAACGTGAGAGTGCAGTTACCATTCTGCTGCTGGGGTTTCTTTGCAACTGGTATTGCAAAGTATAAGAAGCTAACTTCATAGATGGTTGTTCCTTGCTGACGGGGTTCCTCACGGAATCATAGTTAAAATAAAGCACAGTTTATTCAGGTTTTCACATAATGTTAAACAGATACTGAAAAAGAAAGCATTTTTAAAAAAATATCCTTGTAGGTGGTGTGAGGGAGACAAGAACTGACAAGCCTGATGTTCATTCATATAATGCTAAGCCATGTGAATTTTACATTTGAATGCAGCCAGGATGATGCAGACCTTAGGTTTATGGTAGACAGTAATTACACAGATCTGCTTATTATAGACTTACACCTCTCATCCTTCAATTCCAAGTAATATTTTATTCAAACAAATGTAGAAATAGATAGTATACATCTGTCTTAATGTCTGGTTTTATTTCAGGAAAGAGAGCTGGTTAGAGAGGCTATTTTATAGTTGCCAAAGACTGGATAAACATGACCAATCAAGTATTCCACGCAATTTGTTGAAAACCGAAGCTATTCTTTGGCAGTGGGCCATCTGGGAAGCAGCCCAATTCACTGTCCTTTCAAAGCTGCGAACACCACTGGGCAGAGCTCAGGACACATTTCAGACAATTGAAGGTAACTTTAAACAGCTGGCACATTTTTGAAATATGGTGTATTTTCCAAATATGCCATTGGAAAAGTATAAATAAAGAAGTTGAAAATAGAAAATTCAAATGTTGTGGAAAGCAAAAGGAAATATTGCTTAGATAAAAGCAGACTAATACAGTCAAAATGCTGAGAACTAATGTTTTTTTTTGAAACGTTGAGTTAAACTTTACAACACTGAAAATACTGAATTCTGCAGTATATACTTGAGTTACCATTATTGATTGCTGTAAATTATCTTACATAAATAACATCATGATATTATGTATGAGTAGTATCTTGTCTTTAAAAGCATCTAATTTATTTTGTAAGACAAAATGTTTCATATGAGCCCCTCCTACTGTTTCCCAAACAGGAGGAAACACACATTTCCTTCTCCAATATCTGGTGCTTTTTTTTTTTTTTAAAAAAAAGCCTTATTTCTAGATGTGATTTTCCACATTGCAGTGGTAAAAGGTAAAAATGGATGTATAAAATGACTATTGCTTCAGTTAAAACTCATGGTTACTTTTCATCAGCTGGAGTAGATGCTGACTGAAATCTTGGTTTGTTGTTTTATGGGTACAATGGTGATATAATCAGTGGCAAATTGCTACTGACTAAAGGCATATCCCCACTGATTAAATGTGATTTTGGGATACATGTGACTTACAGTGTTCACTGTGAAATCTCCACAGGAAACCTTTAATCAGTGACATTTTGCTGCTGCTGTTGCTGTAATCATTGTTACACACTTGAGTCTGCGCAACAGGATTTCAATCCCTGAATTGAGAGTAAACATAAGCACATGTTCACAACTGTTATAAATTTTAATGTTTAATGCAGCTTGTTTGCAATTCTGTATGGAATTAGAAGAGGTAGCCATGTTAGTCTGTGCAAGCATATCAGGAAAAATCAGTAGAAACAAAACAAAACAGACAAAAATATGTGGGACATTAAAAACTAGTGTTTTTTAATTGGGTATTTGGTTACATTTCACATGCAGTGATTTATAGTCTGTGTGTGTTTGGTGTTAGGTTGTAAAGATTTTTCAAGGAGACAGAAAACAGATGATAGGCATGAGCAAAAGGGAGGGGGGAGAAGAGGTGGGGGCATGATGGTCAAACACAGGCCATAAATCACTGCATGTGAGATATAATCAAATATCCCATTCAGAAAAAAGACTCTTAGAGCCAATGAATATTTAGTATATTTTACTTGAGTATTGGTATTTCATCCATCATTTTTTCCCATATGACTGACAAAGTGGACTTGTCCTCTAAAGCTCACATCAAAATATAATACTTAGTCTTTAAGGTGCCACATGTTTTTGTCTTCTTTGGTTTTGTTTGTTTGTTTGGATTTTGCCTAATATGTATGGAGTTAAAGGCTTATTGTTTTTGGAAATAGTAGCCTTGTATCAAGGTTATTAGTCTGATATCTGGTACCTTGATATGTTATGAATATGTGTTTCTAGGTATCATTAGAAGTCTTGCAGCCCACACATTAAACCCTGATCAAGATGTCAGCCAGTGGACTACAGCAGACAACGATGAAGGTCATAGTAGTAACCAATTGAGACTGGTTCTACTTCTGCAGTATTTGGAGAACTTGGAGAAACTGATGTACAATGCTTATGAAGGATGTGCTAATGCACTTACATCACCACCTAAGGTTCGTGCTTGTGGCAGTAATTCTTTTGTATTACACTGCTGATGCAAACTGTTGTGGGACAAATGTATTCTCTGTGTATCAATCCTGTTCTGGGTCACAAAACTACACTCTTAGGTGTGCATTTTAACAGACCAATTAAATACTCAATTTATCTTGTTGTTTGTACCTGTCAAGGATACAATTTCTTAAAAAGTGGACATATGAAAGAAAAGTTAAATTGGCCCATTGTTTCAAGATCATCTGGGATCAGCTGAGATGTGATATATGTAGACTGTTAGTTAATTTTGGCCTGTGTCATATTTTTGTTTTGTTTTTTTCATTACTTTAACTTATAACCCAGATATACAAGATAACTTCAGAGTTCTGTTTTATTGGAAGGTTCTATTATGTTATTGTGCTATTGTTTGTTGAATTCATGGATGCTATCCTTCACTCGCTTGCTTAAGGTAAATCTACATTCATGATGGGATGGTGATATGCCAGTAGGATCTAAAAGGCACGTGAAGTGAATACCTTCTGATACATTCAGGCAGCTTTGTTGCTTATGTTATCACTTTACTGCCTTAATTCAGAAATTGCTGTGACACCGTAATCTTTTATTTGTTTGATTTTTATTTTGCCCATTAGTTGTGGTTCTTGTTTCCCTCTTTGAAGAGTGTTGGTGTCTTAGAATTGTTAGGGGTACAGGTAATTGATGTAGCACATGTTGTTCGGCAATGTAGCTATGTTTTACTGAATAAATAAAAGAGAAATGAAATTTCTTCCACTTCATTTATTAAGGTTATCAGGACATTCTTCTATACTAATCGGCAGACTTGCCAAGACTGGCTAACTCGAATTCGACTTTCCATCATGCGCGTTGGGCTGTTGGCAGGACAGCCAGCAGTGACAGTTAGGCATGGTTTTGATTTATTGACAGAAATGAAGACTGGCAATATGGCTCAGGTACAACATTTTCATACCCTTCCACAAATCTGCAATATTAATTAACTTGTGTAAGCAAGTGGGTTTAATTCTTAGCCAACTAATCATTTGGCCATTTTTTTCAGTTTTTTTATCCACTGCAAAATGATTATGTAAAGGGAGTGATCGGAAATGATCTATTGTAGGGATCCCCCATATTCTGATACAGTGGACCCTCGACTTACAGACGGCTCGACTTACAGACTTATCGAGTTACAGACTTCTCTGGCTGCAAAATTTAGATTCGACTTGCAGCCGGCGAATCGACTTACAGACCAGAAAAAAAACAAAATGGAACAAAAATAGAATAAAAACCGGTGGTTATGGGATTAATCGGTTTTCAGTGCATTGTAGGTCAATGGAGATTTGACCTACAGACTTTTCGACTTGCAGACACCATTCCAATACGGATTAATTCCGTAAGTAGAGGGTCCACTGTAATCCATATTGTTGCAAGTCTTCTGCTTCCAAAGAAGAACTTGTCCTTCTTAAATCCATCCTTCCCTGTTTCAAATCTTGGGCTCCTGAGACAGAGAAATGCAAAGTCCATATGAGTATAAGAACAGCCAGTGGGTTGTCACATTTTTTTTCACTCTAGGCTATAAACTGAATTATTTTCTCCTCCCTAACCACCAGGGAAATGAATTAGAAGTGATTATCATGATGGTGGTAGAAGCCCTTTGTGACCTTCATTGCCCTGAAGCAATCCAAGGCATATTCGTCTGGTCCTCTGCTGTGGTTGGAAAGAGTCTCACCTGGATTAATTCTGTTGCTCAGCAAGCTGAAGGGCGGTAAGTTAGTCCATGCATGAGATTATGTTGTGTTTTAAATTTTCTTTAACTGGAGTATAATTTTACTCAGAGACAATGTATGCCCTGACATGCTTGTTTTTATCTGAAGCAAAACACAGTTTATTATAGTGAATAAACCAGCACAGAGCAATCATACACATTACAAAACTGTAGAAACTACATAGAAGAGGGGGCTTGTCTTCTTTCTCCTTTTGCAACTGACAGCTGCTTAGCCTCAGCTGCTGGCTGCTGCATTTCTAGCTGACAAAAATAAAGAAAAAGAGTACAGTTAGGTACATTGACAAGGTAGAGGCATCAGTAAAGGCACAATAGTTGTTGAGTTGAGTAATAAGAAAATAATGTGAAACTGGCAAGCTGCAGCACAGAGAATCAGCATATTCCACTGATTCAGCATCACTGTTGTTATATATCCCAGTTTTTGCTGAAGGAGGAGTGGTGTGGTAACCACTTAACTGTTGAGACAGCAACCATTAAATTGGACTAAAATTAGGGCAACATTCTGTTTAGCACTACATAAATTATTTTTTAAATTCTTTTCATCTCTGGGATGCAGCTTCCATTTCCATTTCTGGTTGCAAGATCAGTTTTTGAAAAGGAATTTCTGAAGTGTAATGGTAATGGAGATTTTCCTAATCTACAACATTTAAATCTTCAAAGGTTTGAAAAAGCAGCTGTTGAGTACCAGGAGCATCTTTGTGCCATGACAGGAGTGGACTGGTGTGTCACAGGATTTGATAAGTCTGTCCTGAAATTGGCCAATTTGTCCACCAGCAATAATGCTAGCCCAAAGCACACTTTAAATGGTAAGTATTACTATAGGTGGGTTGTACTGGTTTTTAAATGTGATGTGGCCAACTGGCTACTTGTATGCTTTCCCAACCACACATGGTTGACATGTGAAATTTGGCATTGTAGCAAATGCCTCTCTCATTTTTCCAGTGGGAGTGACTTCAGGATGTGAGGAGGTGTGCTCCTTGACTCTGGGGAGTGGGGAGGGACAGTGATAGGAGTCAATCCCTCTAGCTTCCTACGATGGAAAATGCCCCCCTAGGCTTTAATGCAGAGACATTTGTGGTATAGTCACTCTCTCTTTTTTGTGTGTTTGCCTTAACCAGAAAGAAAGTTTGAATTGATAGAAAATGGTATGTAGAAGAGTTTGACACTGTTTTCAAGAGAGCACTCAAGGAAACGGGAGGCCATATAATCCCGGTGTGTCCTTTCATTCCCAGATAAGAGTACCTTTTCCCCCACTACCTGTTTACCAGCTTGGAAACACTTCTTCCTGATGCCTCAATGCGTAGGAGAAGCTTGCTGAGCCTGCTGTATTTGAACCTCTTAATAAGAGACTTTGTCAGAACTCTAATATTTAAACCTTTCCCTTGATAGGGGATTCTCGAAAAACAGTACTGACTAAGCCAAATGAGTCTTCACCAGAAGTCATAAATTATTTGGGCAACAAAGCTTGCGAGTGCTACATTGCTATTGCTGACTGGTCTGCTGTGCAAGAATGGCAGAATGCAGTCCATGACCTGAAAAAAACCACAAGCAATGCTTCAGTCAATTTAAAAACAGATTTTAACTATATAAAGTAAGTATTGATTTCTGAAATCAATGTTGCTGCAAGAGTAGGTTTCTGCCTTTCTTAATGTGCTTGGAAGGGGGAAATTATGGAGGATGAGAGTTTTAAGGTTAATGCCGGTAAGAATAAAGGAAAATTTTAAAAAATTTATTTTTAAGGTGGTATATGACTTCGGTGAAATTGAATATAATAAATTCAGATTATTCTAAAGCTTGTTGGAAATGTGATGAAGAAATTGACACATATTATCATTTGTGATGGGACTGTAAATTGATTCAGAAATTTTGGAAACTGATTTTTAAGGAAATGTGATATATTTGGAAAAGATACTGAATTTAACTCTAAAATTGCTTTGTTGTCAATTTTTGATAAGACAGTACTTGATTATTGTTTGAAGGAATTGATGAAGATTCTGGATTCTAGCTAGATTCTGGAAAGACAAAAATGATATTAAATTAGAAGATAAGTATAATGAAGTATGGGGCATTGCATTAAATGATAAATTAACTACTGAACTTAGGATGAAAAGTGGGGAAATAAGTTCAAATATTTGTATGCTATTTGGGGTAGATTTGTTGAATTTGTATTAGTGAAAGGAAAGGGGAAAGCCTCTAAACAACAATCAATACAATTTTGGAAAGGAAGTTCATATTATAAGTATTGTTCTAAGGGTCCCGTGGGTATGGGGTGCACGGTAGTTTAGATCACTGGTTCTTAACCTTGGGTTACTCAGGAGCTTTGGACTGCAACTCCCAGAAGCCTTCACCACCAGCTGTGCTGGCTGGGGTTTCTGGGAGTTGCAGTTCAAAAACATCCGAGTAACAAAGGTTAAGAATCACTGGTTTAGATTGTATAACAAGTATTTGGTATTTTTGTATTTGTTTTTGTTCTGAAAAAATAAAGGAAGGGGGAAAGAGAGAACAGTAGTGAAACAAAACAGTGAAGCTGAAAGTATATTATTACTATTTTTTCTTCAAGTTCTTTGATAACTGAGCAATTCCAAATTAGGGTGACCTGTGCAGAGGGCTTTAAGAGACACTGGCCCAAGAGCTATTTTGCCTAATCCTGGGAGAAAAGTTGACTGGGAAAATACTGCTGTTTCTGGAGAGGATGTAGTTTCCATTTTCCTTTCTGGTTGCAAGATTACTTTTGGTGCATTTTGTCCACTGAGGCCTTGTTGGGGGAATCATAGGTGGCTTTTTCCAGTTTTCTTTTCTAAAGCTTATCTCCCTGTCTTAACTTCACTGTTAAAGGAGGTATTTTGAAGGATTCTGTTGGATACTTTGTCCTGAATAACTCAAATTTGCTGTCAAACACTAAAGAATGATTCCAAGTTGCATTCTAAAGTGGACAGGAATCTTGAGTTGGACCCGAGTGAATGCAAGTGTTTTAGTGTCTGATTATTGTGATCTTGTAATTTTGGCTTGTAATTCTTTGGGTCATCAGCTGTGGGAAGTTTTGCCTCTAAAAGCACAAACTAAAAGCTAGCAATCCTTTATCCAAACATTGAATACACTAAGTGTGACACAAGTCTCATCATCCTGCAACCAGCTTGCCCTTTGTGGGGAAGTACGATGGGATTAATTCGCTAACATCTGAAGAACCACACCCCAGGGCGAAAGCAATTTTTATGAATATGATCAGTGTTTGGAGCTCTTTCAGTTGTCATTTTATGATAATAAATTAAAAATGCACTAAAACTATGTTTCAGGTCTCTGAGTAGCTTTGGATCTGGAGAACTTACAGAATGTACTGAACAGCTAGAATTGCTTCCAGGAGAAGACATCAATCTGCTTATTGGAGGAATAAAAGAAAAAATAGGTATAAGTTAAAAACTGCTAAATGCATAAAGATCTTTAAGAGCTTAATTTTGACTACTGTGCTTGGTGCGTAGATGTGGATCATTTTATTTATTGAGAGTGAGAAAACAGCCTGACAGTAAAGAATGTCAGTAGCTGTTGATACATTGATATATGTTAACAACCTCTACAGATATGAAGAAGCTTCTTCCCAGCATGTTGTCTCCTGACCCCAGAGAACTTCAGAAAGCAATTGAGGTTCAGTTATTGAGAAGCTCAGTCTGTCTGGCAACCGCTATTAATCATGTGGAACAGGAACAAAAATGGCAGCCTATCACTGAGTAAGTTTAAAAAACCCTAATAAATGAAGAGAGCCCATGTGTTTTTCTTTAGGATGTTCTCCATCTATGTACATAGGTGAGGTTGTGTTCTTTGGTTTGTGGAAATCTCCACTTTCTCTGTACCTCAAGATTATTGCTGTCTACTCTCCACAGTTCATTGTATTTGAGGCTTTATCTCTCTGATATTTTAGACCAGATCTTGTTGGGAAAACGTTAACGCTCAAGAGCAGCTGTACAGGCAATTCCTCAACTCAGTCATTTGCATACCTAGTTGGACCCCAGTTGTGAAAACTGGCCATGCAACCAATTATTCCAAGACAGTTCACTGGAGAGGGGAACCAGTGCACATTGCAGATGGGGGGGTTTTTTGCACATGACTTGGGCTGTAACATCTAAGAAAGATAGAATCTTGCAAAGTTCACTAGTCTAAATTTAAACAAACTAACAGTGAAATCTTTTTACTTAGTATAGTAAGTCAAAACTAGATTAGGTCCTTTGAATCAGTGGAACAGGAGTTGACTCACCAAATCCCCACTAATTCAGTGGGCCTGCTCAAGCTGTGAATTACTATGCTGAGCAATAGGATTTCGGCACCATGTTGCTAATGTTTCTCTAATATTGTGTACCTGTAAATTATGCATTTTTGTGCTAAAAAGGAGTGTTGTATAACAACTGTACATTTGCCAAAATCCTATTTAGCAGTATACCTACAAAAGGCGAATGGTGTAATATACAGTGGCTTCTTGCTGCTAATTAATGAGTTCCCACTTGGATTTTAAGGCGTGCCCCAACCCACTGGACTGGCATGCATCTAAAAATCCAAGCAGAGATATGTAATTAGCAATTAGAAGCCACTGTGAATTATGCTGTTTGCCTGCCAGAGGCATAACTCAGTGACAGTATTTTGGCCATAGATTTATTTTGAATTCTGTTGAAACGTAATAGCCTAACTGTTTTTTGACTCTTGTAACTTTTTGTTTCAGGAACCTTATAAAATACCTGAAGCAGACTTCACGAATTGCCGTTGGACCTTTGAGACTCGCCACCTTGACAGTGTCTCAGTCTTTGCCAGTATTAAGTACATTGCAGCTGTATTGTTCATCTGCTTTGGAAAATACAGTCTCAAATAGACTTTCCTCAGAGGTACTTTTCTATGCATGTGAAAAACATATATGAATGCACATGTATACAGACATACCTCCATTTACGAAATTAATGCGTTCTCCAGGATGTTACGTCATGTGAAAATTTCATAAACTGATATGCAGATTGTGCTAGGAACAGGGGCACAGCAGAAAAAAAGAGAGAGAAAGAACGCAAACTGGGGCATTATTTTCTGTGTATTTCAGTTCGTAAACCGCAAATTACGTAAACCGAGGCTTTCATAAAGTGAGGTACCGCTGTACTGATAGAGTCCCTTTGCAGTCCTCATCCTGCAGTCCTTAACCATCATGCAAAAATGTACTACTGTATTTCCAAAGTAAATAGCAACTTCCTGTCCATTATAGTTGTTAGTTACTTACAGGTATTGCTTTCTGGTTACAGCCAATATACCTAGAACTATGAAAGTGATGTTGTGATCTCAAGAGGCTTAAAATATTTTTCCATTGCAATGGACCATCCAAGAGCAGGTTGTCTCTTATACCACTCCAGAAAGGCAGGGGTCACAGAACCTAGTTTTTGTTATCAGTTCTGTGTATTGAGACTCCTTGCCATTTTTACCCTTCTGTTAGCCAAAGCTTCTTTAACATTCTCATTATTAAAATATCAACAGTATGTTAAGGGGGACAAAGATAGTGGTGTCTAGTACTGCATTTTGAGATTGTCCCCAGAATCTGTGTAGAAGCATTTTTATTCATCACTTTGGGGGGGAGGGGGGAAGAGTTACAGTTCTATTAAGTATTCAATGTCTACTTTTTAACAGGACTGTCTCATCCCTCTGTTCAGTGAAGCACTGCGTTCATGCAAGCAACATGATGTAAGACCATGGATGCAAGCCCTAAGATACACCATGTACCAGAATCAGTTTTTGGAAAAACTGAAAGGTATATACCTGAAACCAGAACATCTCTGATCTACTTTTAATAAATCGATGAGCCTTCAGGTTGTATTTGTTGCTCATAGCCTGTGATGTCATCTCTTAAATTTTTTATGCTTATATCATTTGTTTTTGGGAGTACGTAGACTTCCATTTTTCCAAACTACAGTAATGTGACTTTGAGATAAAAGAACATGTTTAGTTAGAGGAAGGTACTTTGAGTTTAAATGAGGGATGTCAGTCTGTACTTGTTTCATTGTCAGAAAAAACTAGAACAAAATAGAAAACAAAACACAGCACAGTAGCATTTTAAATACTAGCTTTTATATTTCAATGTAAGCTTTCATGGATTAATTACCTTGTCAGTTCAATTTCAGTGGAGTGTAAATGCAAGCCTCAGAGGGGACAGAGACATTATAGACACAAATAATTAACTGTAAGAATTCTGAATTGTATGTCCTGGATAGTTTCATGCTTTCTGTGGGGAAGGCAGTAGAACTTTTCTTCTAAGGTCAGCTCTTGTGTGCAAGAAGAAAAACCACATTTCCTCTCTCTCCTGCAAAATGGTGTGACCATTTCTGCTGATATTGGTAAGAGTTCTCAGATTTGCCAGAATGATTTGACAGCTGTCAAACCTACAGTTCAGTGCATTCCAATGGGGGAGAAAAAAATTCACCAAAAATTAACGAAGAGTCAGAACAAAGCCAAATTAAGTTTGCAAAGGTTTTACAAGGTGCACTAACGATTCCAAGCATTTAAAACAGTTTTTGAACATTTTAAGACACTTTAAAAATAGCGAAAACGGACATCATTAAGCGAAACAGGGGGACCTAAACTGTCATCGCTAAGCGAGGCAAGGTCGTGAACATTGCTATGCGAAATTTCCCCATAGGGAACATCGCTAAACGGAGCGCAAAATCGCTGCAAAAACCTCATCGCTAAGCGAATACATCATTAAACGAGGCAATCGCTTAGCGAGGCACCACTGTATAGAAAAAGGGATATGACATGTCACAAATGGGTATCTTTTTAAAAAATACTTTACTGAACACTATTGGCTTTATGTACTTTCAGAGCAGAGTATTCCAGTTAGAAGTCATTTAATGGAATTGGGATTGACTGCTGCAAAATTTGCGAGAAAACGTGGGAATATTGCCCTGGCTACACGGTTGCTTGCTCAGTGCAGTGAAATCCAGCTTGGAAAAACCACAACAGCCCAAGATTTAGTCCAGCACTTTAAGAAACTCTCAACACCAATTCAAATGGATGAAAAATGGGGTCCTGAGCTAGAAATTGAAAAAACCAAATTGTTATACACAGCCGGTGAGTGTCATTTGTATGGCTTTCTATTATCTTTAAACTTAAATCATTTGTGTGTGTTTTTGAAATCAGAAGTGAGCATGCTTCTTTAAAAGTTTGTTTTTCATGCTGGTATTTAATTTTGAGTTTCAGTTGAGGATAAAGAACTGGTTTAAGTCTTCCGAAAGTGCCTGTGACCAAGTAGCACTTTTTATTTCTAGAATAAGAACTGAATGTGTTCCCTTGCCATGGTGCAAACTGCTTCTGAAAAATCAGCGATTTTCAAAAGTGGATTGCCATGAGAGTGTGGCTAGGTTGGGAATGGATCTCTTGTGAGAAATATCCGTATAGGTGAAAATAGTACTGCAATTCTTCTGATACAAGTTTTTCTGACTAAACAAAAGTTTAGCCAGGGAGCTGGTAGTGATGAAATGAGTCAGATGCAGACTAGAACAATGATTGTGTAAACTTGGTGAAATCGACTGAAGATGGGTTGAAGGCCTCCTATGTGGCAGTGGTGGCAGGGAAGAAGTCCTTCTTCTCAATCAACATTCCAGTTTTTATATCTATGCATATATATAATATAGTAAGTTGCCATGGGTCCTTTTGGTGAGAAAAGTAGGGCATACATATTTTAAACAAACAGACAAACAGTACTGTACTGTAAATGTAGTTCTGAAACTTGCAGATTTAAAATGGACTTTTCAATTTAAAATCAGCAATACTGCTTAAAATAGTAGCTTCCTTTGCTTTTCAGGCCAGTCAGCACATGCGATGGAAATGCTGAGCTCGTGTGCCATATGCTTTTGCAAGTCTGCCAAAGCTGAATATGCTGTGGCGAAGTCTATTCTTACATTAGCTAAATGGATTCAAGCTGAATGGAAAGAGATTTCAGGACAGCTAAAGCAAGTCTACAGAGCGCGACAGCAACAGAATCTTGCTGGTCTCTCCACATTAGCTAAAAACATCTATAATTTGATTGATCTGCCATCTGTCAACACCATTGAAGAGGATTATCCCAGAATTGAAAGTGAATCCACAGGTACATCTATGTACTGTACATGTTTGACACAATGACTCTATGACATTGAACAAGAAGTAATATTTATTCTGTAAAGAAGTTTAAATGTTGAAGAAATGAAGAAAGATACAATTTAAGGTAATCTCTTTGGTGACTAGGATTCTATCTCTGAATAGGGTAGAAGCTTCATTAAAGTGAGGTGACTGCCTACCTTTTATTTTTTTATTTTTTTATTCGATTCCAAATAGCTGCTGACTTTTATCCCTTTGCAAGGCAGTGGTGCTGCAAGAAGAAAGGTGCTTGTGAAAATCCTATTCAGAAGACAGATGTTAAGATATAGTTCTTATTTTCCTTGCCAGTTCAAATTGGACCGTTGACCCAACTAAGTGTAAGCTATAGTCTGTTAGAAATGAGAGCTTTCAGTGATACTGGGTGGGTGGAAAGTAGATTGAGATGTGTTAGTTCATCATTGGAGCCACACAGAGGATAATCACAATACAGTGGTGCCTCGCATTATGATGTTAATTCGTTCCAGCGAAATCACTGTAGAACGAAAACATCGTAAAGCGAAATTAAAAAGCCCATAGAAACGCATTAAAATCTGTTTAATGCGTTCCGATGGGCTTAAAACTCACTGTCCAGCGAAGATCCTCCATAGGGTGGCCATTTTCGCTGCCTGTCTTGCGAGGCATCCATCCCTAAACACAGCGGGGAGCCATTTTATTTACCTGGTGGCCATTTTGAAACCGCCGATCAGCTGTTGGAAAATCATCGTTTTGCGAAGAATCGGTTCCCAAAGCAGGGAACCGATCATCGCAAAGCGAAATTCCCCCATAGGGAAAAAAGTTCATCGTAATGCGATTTCGTCGTTAAACGAAGCAATCGTAATGCGAGGCACCACTGTATGTAACTTCTGAAATGACCACTCTGTGTTTTCTTTTCTCACTACAGTAAACATTGGTGTGGGAGAACCTGACTTTATTTTGGGGCAGCTCTACCGTCTTTCTTCAGCACAAGCACCTGAAGTAGCTAAATCATGGGCGGCACTTGCCAGTTGGGCTTACAGATGGGGCCGAAAGGTAGTCGATAATGCCAGGTAAATCTTACATTTAAAAATAAAATGGGTTCTGTATGTGTTTTAAATTAAGTATTTTAAAAGTGGTTTCCAATCTGAAACATCTCTGAATGTCCGTTGACAAAGCTGTATTTGCTTGACAATTTCTGGGTATGAGGCAGAGGAATAAAGAATAATAAATTTAATTAAGCTCAGTCTTGTGATCCTTGGGAAAAGGTTGTCGCTAGAATTCCCAATACTTGCAGCCTATGAAGTAGAGGGATGGTTTGCAATGTTGCACTGACTTAGAGTAGACTGGGAGAAGAAAGGGCCATCATGGTCTTCCCATGAGCTCTTTGGTGAAGTAGTTGATTTCTTGGAATTCATAAGGAATAATAACTAAGATATCCTTTTATTAGTCTGTCAATTGATTCTGCCCATCTACAATAAATAGAGCTTAGTCTTCCAAGCACTGTATGTTTTTCTGTTCAGAAGTGAGAAGATCTTGAAGAATTTTTTGAAATAGATCAAATACTGAGTCACTTGATAGTGTTTTTTTGAAAGACTTAAACGATTAAATATAGGATTATTGTTTTTAATCATCAAATTTGAAAAGTGAAAACAGCTTCCAATTGTTTACTTTCTATGGGCTTTTTGCATTTTAAGACTAATTGATTAGAGATAAAAATAGCTAATGACTGTGCAGCTGCAAAGCAGGTATTTAATTCATTAGACAAATAATTGTATCTAATGCTGCAGGTAACTTGAATTCTAAAATATTAAAAGAGAGTATTTGGTAGAGCAAAGATATGTTAGCACCATGTTTACTACTTACTTTTTGAAGAGATAAAATATGTGGTGTTACAGTCAGGGAGGTGTCCGTCTGCTATCAAGAGAGAAATCTGAAGTTCAAAGCTTGCTTCCAGAAAATATTACAGAGGAAGACAAAGAGAAAATATATGGCATTCTTGGGCAAGCTGTGTGCCGACCAGCTGGGATTCAGGTTGGTACAAATGAATTGGAATGTTTGCAGATGAAAACTTTTTTTTTTTACTGAAATCTGTAAGTAGGTTAAAAATGGCTTTTTTAATAATCAGAGCTCACTACAGAAAGGACTCTGGTTGTCACTGGCAGAACTACTGTGGTCCTAAAGAGGTAGGGTAATCAGGAAAGGACTGAAGAGAAAAATTTAGAGGAAGCAAGGACCTTGGGGAAAAAGAGACGGGGGTGTAAAAAGTGGGGGGAAATGGAGTGTAGAGTAAAGGAGGATGGGAATTAGGTGATCCAGAGGAAGTAAAGAGCCAAAAAGGAGATGTAGGCTATACAGTGGAGCCTCAACCTACAACCATCATCCGTTCCTGAATATGGACGTAACTTGAAATGGTCGTAAGTCGAAGCCCCATTTCACATTGAAATGCATTGGAACGTGATTAATCCATCCAAAAGGGGGAAAAACCCCAAAAATAAAAATAAAACACTGCAAGCCCCATAGGAATGTGCTGGGGCTTAAAAAAAAACAGCAAAAAAAATCAGGGAGCAAGCCCCAAAGGTGCTGGGGCTTTAAAAAACAACACCAAAAATAAACCACGAAGCAAGTCCCAAAGGTGCTGGGGCTTTAAAAAACAACAACCACCAAAAATAAACCACAGAGCAAGCCCCAAAGGCACTGGGGCTTTAAAAAAACACACCCAAAAATAAACCATGGAGCAAGCCCCAAAGGTGCTGGGGCTTTAAAAAACAACACCAAAAATAAACCACGAAGCAAGTCCCAAAGGTGCTGGGGCTTTAAAAAACAACACCAAAAATAAACCACGAAGCAAGCCCCGAAGGCGCTGGGGCTGCAACCCCCCCCCCAAAAAAAAACAAAAATAAATCATGGAGCAAGCCCCGAAGGTGCTGGGGCTGCAAAAAAAAATCTGCAAAAAACAAAACAACAACACAGCACAGAAACATAACCCCCCAACCCAAATCCACCCTGCAAAACCCACACAGAATAGGCAGTTTTTAAAAAGCAGAAAGCACCTTACCTTACCAGGTGGTCCCAAGCCTCCTACAGCACACTCTCTAACTGCTGGGGCGAAAGAGCTACAAAGAAGCAGCCTCATCATCACCAACAGTTAGCAATTTGAATTTCCTGCCCTTTTCTGTTTGTAAGTGGAAGCTGCAGCCTCAAGTCAAAGCAAAATTTTTTGGCCGGAGCTGGTCGTCACTCGAAATAGTTGTAGGTAGGGACGTTCGTAAGTCGAGGCACCACTGTATTTTGTTGCTGCATTTAAATGTTATAATGATCACTGGCTTAAAGGCCTTGCAGTTGGTGGTAGCAAAGTGAAGATTTTAAGGTATAAAGAAAGCTGAGGGAAAAGATGGACACATAAAGGTAACATTGACTCAAACTTATCATTTGGAACAGGGACTGCAGTCTTATTTTACTGTTGGTTGATGGCCTTCTGTTAATCTGCAAACTTGTACCAAGATTCTAAAATGTATTCTCAAATCTAGTATCACTGGAATCACACTCCCTGTTCCCTAGCAGGCCTCTGTGGTACCAAAATCCTGTGGTAGAAGGTTTACTGGCCCTCCAGAGCAGAATGTTTATAGTGCCCCAGGATTTGTGTGTGTTTGTGCGTGAGAATAATTCTGGTGGCACTTGCAATGGAAGTATGCTACTGGATGTGGGGGGGGGGTTGTTAAAATATTCTTGTATATCATCTTAGTATATTTTATATTTTTACTTCAGACATCTGTAAGTCACTTTGCATTTATAGAAATAAAGAGAGGAGAAATAAGAAGCAATTCTTCCTTTATTCACGATTTGCATTTAGGATGAAGACATCACCTTTCAGATTTCAGAGAATGAAGATAATGAGGAGGACGATATGGTTGATGTTATCTGGCGCCAGTTGTTGACAAGTTGCCCCTGGCTTTCAGACCTTGATGAAAATGCAACAGAGAGCCTAATCAAAGTGTGGCGGAAAGTAGTCGACAGAATCTTCAGTCTCTATAAGCTTTCATGCAGTGCCTATTTTACTTTCCTTAAACTCAATGCTGGGCAGGTAGGCTGCATGTTGCCATTTGTAATGACAGCTATCTCTGAGTTGTTTTAGTTTTTTGGGACTGCGAGAGCAGTTGTGTGGTCAGTGGAGTTGTTCATTTTTTTTAATGTATAGGTTCCTCTAGATGAAGATGATCCCAGACTGCATCTAAGAAACATTTCGGAGCAGAGCACTGATGATGTGATTGTAATGGCAACCTTGAGGTTATTGAGGCTGCTTGTGAAACATGCAGGAGAACTTAGGCAGTATCTAGAACATGGACTGGAGACCACCCCTACAGCACCATGGAGAGGTATGACATCTTTTGCCATCTGGTATTCATGGAGATAACTGCCTTCAAATTGAAGACAAAAAATGTATATGTAAATTAAGATCCTAGGTGTCAAGCTGTTTTGTTCCCCACAAACTTTTGTGGCGTGTGTATTTTTTTAAACAACAGCTTCAGTTTTTCACCCTGAAAAACATTTAGCTGGCCAACGTATTTAGTCATAGCCATATTAACTATATGCTTTCCTTTTATTTGCAAAAAGATTTTTAAAAATGTTGATACAGTGGTGCCTTGCAAGACGAGCGCTTCGTTTTACGACGAAATCACATAATGACGAAGTTTTTGCGATCGCAAAAGCAATCGCAAAACGATGTTTCCTATGGTGTTTTTTCGCTTTGCGATGATCGGTTCCCTCCTTTGCTAACCGATTATCGCAAAACGATGATTTCCGCACAGCTGATTGGCGGTTTCAAAATGGCTGTCGGATAAAAAAAATGGCCGCCCGTTGTTTTCTGGGACAGATTCCTCGCTGCACGGGCAGCAAAAATGGCCACGCTATGGAGGATCTTCACTGGACGGTGAGTTTCAAGCCCATAGGAATGCATTAATCGGGTTTTTATGCATTTCTGTGGGCTTTTTAAAATAGCTTTATGATGTTTTCGTTCTACAGCGATTTCGCTGGAACAAATTAACATCGTAATGCGAGGCACCACCGTATCATGAAATACTTGTGCATGTATAGAACTAGGAGAACAGTAGGTAAAACTCATGTTGCATGGGATGGCTGCAGTGAAAAAGTGTTCATTCAGGAGACTGGCATAATATTGTGTAAACCATAGACAAGGTCATCCTTTGTGTCCATGTGCTGTACTACTTTGTTTTGAAACATCAACAGGAAATGCATACATGGCTTCAGTTATTGCACTTACAGTGGACCCTCTACTTAAGGAATTAATCCGTATTGGAATGGTGGCTGCAAGTCGAAAAGTCTGTAGGTCGAATCTCCATTGACCTACAATGCATTGAAAACCGATTAATCCCGTAACCAGCGGTTTTTATTCTATTTTTGTTCCATTTTGGTTTTTTTCTGGTCTGTAAGTCGATTCTCCGGCTGTAAGTCGAATCTAAATTTTGCAGCCAGAGAAGTCTGTAACTCGAAAAGTCTGTAAGTCGAGGGTCCACTGTAATGGAGCAGAGTTCTACCCCCAGTTATTGGACTTAAACTACTGATTTGTAGCTCACAGTCTTTGGGTAACAGATGCCTTCATCTTCTCATTTAGGGAATGGGGAATGGATTCTGACACATGTGCTGTCCAAGAATTAAGTTTATATGCAGCAACCCATAAGAGCACAATTGTCATAAGAGAAAGTAACAATGTAGTAAACTGTAATTCAGTACTGTTCTGCTTAAGCAACATATAAATGTTATTCTTTGTGCTGTTTTATTATGAAGGTATAATTCCTCAACTCTTCTCACGGCTGAATCATCCTGAAGTATATGTTCGTCAGAGTATTTGCAACCTTCTGTGTCGGGTAGCGCAAGATTCTCCTCATCTCATATTGTATCCTGCAATCGTGGGTACAATTTCGCTTAGCAGTGAATCTCAGGCTTCTGGTATGTATGCCAATTGAAGTGTTTTATGGCTCATCACAAACAACAGCTTTGTGTTTAGCTTTGTAATGTGAGTCATTTTGCTGCTGTATGAATCTCACATGTTACCACCATCTTGCTTCTACTAGTCTTGCTTCTACTGTGACTTTCCATGAAGCTGTAACAAAGGGCCTCAGATAGCAAGCAACAGTCCACAGTCAGTAAAGGCCCTTCCTCGCCACGTGCTCATCTCATGAAGACAGCAGCACTCACCAGTCTCACCAGCTGCAGAAATGCCACCTGGATTTGAGCACTATATATGCCTGTAGTGTGCATTATGCAGAGTTTCCATTTCTGTAGACTTCCTTAAATACAATTCTTTGTATTCTGCGGTAACTAACCTTTTTAAAAATAATTGTTCCGAAAGAGGAAATATAATCGTGCTTTTTTTTCCTGTGGCCTCTAAACTTTGCAGTTCTTCAGCGTGGTCTTCTGTGAATGCACACAAAAAGGGTTAAGTCAGCGCCTGCGCTGGTCTCCTCGGAACGTTCTCAAGCTCTGTAAAAAAAACATAGTTAGGACTGCCTATACTGCGCATGCTCTGCCCGCCCAATCCTCAGTTCCATTTCTCCGCCGTGTGAATTGGTTCTTCTCGGCTTGAGCTCTACTTTTATTCTTTCCTTACCTGATATTTCGGCTTGATCTTTCGTATTTTTGAATATTGGCGCATTTACGGACATTCCTTTGGTTATCGGACTCTGTCTTGGCGTTTCAGCGGTTTTCTCCGCACCTCACTCCGTGAGTTGCTTTTTTCCCGCCTTTTTTACCGGCTGCCTCTGGGTACTATAGCTTTGTCTATGCCCCCTCCACCCTCTGGCCCCTTTAGCCGGTGTGTCTGCTAAAATCCCCTTCCAAGACGGGCACGACACTTGCCTTTTTTGCCTTGGGGAGTCGCATTCTTCTCAGAATTGCGAGCATTGCCAGGCGTTCACTAAGGCTGCCCTGAAGGCGCGCTGAAGGTTTTGTTTTGTTTTTGTATTTCTGCAAACTTTTAGGTTCTCCCACATTTGCTGGTATTTCCTTTTGTGTATTTGTATTACTGTTTTGCTAAATAAAGATCCACAAGATCATGCTTCTTTCACACTGGTAGAAGAGGGAATGACTTAAATTAATAGGAAACAGGACATCATCCATTTTTTCAATGAAGTTGTGGGGCACTATTATTTTAGGTTTTTAATGTAGCTACATTTAATGTTGCCAACTGCAGCCGTCTTGATTAAATTTAAACCTCACAAGCAAGTCATAACATATATTGGTTTCAACAGGCAGAAAATAGGTACCTCTATGATGTATGCCCTGCTGAGGAAACACTGGAAGTCACAAGACAGGCTAATTTTGCCAGAAAGCACCATCAATTATGTTTGTCACGAAGCAGGAAAAGAATGACATCATCTAAACAGGTCTTGTCACAAGAAAGAAAGAGGGAAGAAGAAAAGCCCACATAGGCTTATGACTGAATAGTAACTGCTCCAAAAGACTTGCAGGGAAAAGCAAATTCATTTAAGGGTTGGTCTGCAGCTACGGATTAGTCTTCAGTTTGGGAAGCAATGTGGAAGCAAAACTGGCTTCTTCCTCGGCTCCCCATACAGAAGGGTCTGCAGCCCAGTCAGCGGCAGCTAAACCCGCATACGTACCTGCAGGGAAACCTCCCAAAAAGTCTTCTGCACCGAAGAAATCGTCCGCTTCTAAAGCAGCAGCTCCATCAAAATCTAGAAATCAAGTAAAAACAAAGGGGTCAGTCAAGTCTAAGGACTCTGTTCTGCAGGTTTTGCCTGTAACTGCTGACCTTCCATCCCCTATCCTGGAGGATTCGTCGAGGGATAAGGATTCGATGTCGGAAGTGGCCACCCCCCTCCCTCCTCGACAGACTGAGCCGATTTTACCCCTTGGCGTTTCCTCTCCCACGCCAAGTCAGCTTGTTCAGGCAACTGTAAGCTTGGCTTCTGCCCCTGTGAGCCCCATGTCTACTGGGCGGGCTTCTCCGGCTCAGTCGGTGTCTCCTCTGCCTTCCCGCCCTGCCTCGCCCCCGAGAAAGAGGTCTGGGAAGAAAAAACACTGTTCCCGAGATCGACATCGATCACCCCGCAGGGACAGTAATGGGAGACACCGACGTTCTCGACGTCGCTATAGATTGATCTCGGACGATTCTTCTACCTCGGGGTCGAGGCATAGGCGACACAAGCGCCGCTGTAGACGTCGTTCATCTACTTCGTCAGCTTCGACGTCGTCTGACCGCCGTCGACATCGTTGGAGGGTCAAATATGTATATCTCTCCTTGTCTTCTGCGTCGACCCCTCCGAAGAAGCATCAACGTCGCCATCGGAAGGAGGTTGAAAAGAACCCCCAATCGGTCCCGCCTGTGACTCAACCGATTGTGGCACCTCCCGTCGCTTCTTCAACATTGACCGCGCTCCTTCCACCTCAGCGCGCTATTACTCCAGCCCTCGACGTCCAAGCTCCACATCGAAAGAGGGGCCATGAATTGTCATCCGAAGATGAGGTCCCATTTTCCTCACAAGCGTCTGATTCAGAAGCAGAGCCACCTCCACAGCCTGAGCCTCAGGAGTTACCGGTGGGAGAGACAGTGGAGTCCGATACGGGCGATCCACATGACTCTTCGCCCTCAGAGGATTTTTCGTCCTATTCCCAAATGCTCTCCCGCCTTGCGAAGACTCTTAAGCTCCATGTCGATGAACCAGCCCCTCCAGAAGAGGATCTCATTTTCGGTGACATCAATAAGGAGCGGTCTCCGCCTCCGAGTCTCTCTTTTTTGCCAGCCTTATTGGACATTATTAAAGAACTCTGGGACCATCCCTCGGCTTCGGTGCCTCTACCCCGGTGCACTGAGAACATGTATAGGATCAACGGGGAGGATGCTAAATTTTTACTGAAGCATCCTATTCCTAACTCTCTCATAGTCGAGACAAGCTGTACAAAGCCAACAGGGAAGGCTCATGTTATCCCAACGAACAAAGAAGGCAAGAAGTTGGAAATGATGGGCAGGAGGCTTTATTCTCTCATCTCCTTCATGCTCCACATGGCTAATTATCAGACTGCATTAGGAGCCTATCAAAAACAGCTATGGTTAAAAGTTTTGCCAGGTTTGAAGATGTTACCAGAGGATACCCGTCAGGCCTTTGTTAATATCTATGAAGAAGCCCAGACCATTTCGAAGCATCAGAGGATTGCTACTAGGCACTCAGTGGAGGCTGCAGCTAGAATGTTGGTCACGGCTGTCACTCACATGCGTGGTTATGTGCGGCGAATATCCTTGACTATGTGAAGACCAAGGTGGAGGACTTACCTTTCGACACTTCTGGTCTTTTTAGTGAAAAAACGGATGGTCATCTTGAAGAACTACATAAGGCCAAGAAAACTGCTAAATCATATTACATTCAACCCCAACTTAGATTTAGTAGGTATCAATGGAAAAAATCCCCTAGCCAGTATAGTCAGCCTCCTCAGGCAATTCAAGGGTCAAACTCAATCCAAATCATCTCAAGGTACCTCTGCTGCACCTACTTACCGTGCCCAAGTAGCATCTCAGCATCGTCAATCTTACAAACCACCTGCAAAGAAGCATAAACAATACCTTTGACTTGGCAATGATTTCGCCAATTCTCAGTCCAGACACAAGACTTCAGCCGTTTTTTCAAAACTGGTCTGCTATCACAAGCGATTCCTGGGTTCTAAACATTGTCTATTCAGGTTATTGTCTAGAGTTTATAGAATATCCTCCTCTAGGTCAGGTAGAGTATACTTCATTTGACCCTGTCCTAGAAGAGGAAGTTCAGTCTCTATTGCAAAAGGGTGCCATTCAAAGGGTGCCAAAAAGGGACATGGCAAATGGTTTTTATTCAAGGTATTTTGCAGTTACCAAAAAAGACAGAGGAATGAGGCCCATTCTGGACTTAAGAGACTTAAACACTTACCTTCAGCCGCACTAGTTCAGGGTGGTGACACTGGAATCCATCATGCACCTCCTAAAAAAGAAAAATTGGTTCGTTGTCATAGATTTGAAGGACGCTTATTTTCATATAACCATTCACCCAGATCATCGCAAATTTCTCAGGTTTATCTTTCAGGACAATCTTTACCAGTTCCTTGCTCTTCCGTTCGGACTGGTCACGGCGCCTCGGATGTTTACGAAGTGCATGGCACCGGTGGCGGCTTACCTGAGACTCAACGTTGTGTCCTCAGCAATCTCGGCCTCACAGTGAATTACTAGAAATCACATCTGAATCCATCCAAAGTAGTGAATTACATTGGTGCCAAGATAGACGCGTCCAAAGGCCACGTTTTCCTTCCACAAGAACGGATCCAAAAGATCCACAAGGCCATAAGGAAGTTTCGTCTTGGACTCACAGTGTCGGCCAAGCATGCCCAACATCTTTTGGGCCTTATGTCATCAACAATACCTGCTTTGGCTCACGCACGCCTGAAGCTGAGATCCCTACAGGTTTGGCTTTTGTCCCTTTTCAACCCTCTTCAAGACCATCAGGAGAAACGCCTTCTCATGACCAGAGAGCTAGCGCGACAACTTCAGAGGTGGGACTTTGTACCACATCTGCAGGTGGGACGTCCATTCCGTCCTCTCCGCCTCACTGTCCAGGTCACCACGGATGCGAGTCCCACAGGGTGGGGAGCACATTGCAGTCTCCATCGTGTCCATGCCCTTTGGTCACCTCAGGAGCAAACTTTCCATATCAACCACCTAGAAGTCTTAGCAGTAATGAAAGCGCTCAAAGCTTTCCTCCCCCTAGTACATGGTCGTGGTGTACAGATAGTCACCGACAGTACCACGGCCATGTACTACATAAACAAGCAACACAGATAGTCACCGACAATACCACGGCCATGTACATAAACAAGCAAGGGGGCACACATTCTCAATCCCTACTCTTTCTCATGGTAACACTCTGGGAATGGTGCTATCGGCATCACATATTTCTGGTGGCAGTTCATGTCTCCACAGAGGACAACTTAGTGGCCGACAAACTCAGTCATCGCAGGAACCAAATGCACGAATGGGAATTGGATACATCGGTATTCCATCAACTGTGCCACCGCTGGGGCAACCCTGTCATGGATCTCCTTGCCACTCGTCAAAATGTGAAATGTCCTCTATATGCATCCAGGGCAGGACGAGGACAGAATTCTCTGGGTGATGCTTTCATGATATCATGGAGGAGAGGTCTGCTCTATCTATTCCCTCCGTTTCCTCTGGTTCAAAGATCACTGGTGAGACTCCGCCAACAGTCAGCAGAAGCAATCCTGGTGACACCCTTTTGGCCTCGACAGTTTTGGTTTCCGACCCTGCTGGAAATGGCAATAGACTCTGTGAGACTTCCAATTTTTCCAGCCCTGCTCACTCAGGATGCAGGCAAGATCTTTCACCCCGACCTGAGCACACTGTGTCTCACTGCGTGGAGAATATCCCGGAGATCAAAGAGATACTAGATAAGTCCAAAAAGGCATCAACCTCCACATTGTATACTTATAAGTGGAAGAGTTTTCTTAAGTTCACTGAGTCTAGAGGATTGTTAGCTTCTCCAGCCTCACTTTCTACATTGTTGCAGTTCCTACGTTATTTGTTCGACTTTAAGCTGTCTGTTTCTACTTTAAGAGTTTACATTGCGGCGATTGTTTTGTTTCATCCTAGAGATTCTCCTTCACGTTTCTTTTCTCATCCCACAGTCAAGGCTTTCCTCAAGGGGCTTACCCATCTACAACCTCCGGTTAAACCGCCGGTACCCCAGTGGTCACTCCATCTAGTGTTGAATGCGCTCATGCGTCCTCCATTCGAGCCTCTGGCTACCTGCTCTCTCAAGCTGCTGTCTCTGAAGGTATTGTTTCTGGTCGCCATCACGTCTGCTCGTAGGGCTAGCGAGCTTGTTGCCCTGCGAGCTGACCAACCCTTCTTACAGTTTTTCCACGATAAAGTAGTTTTGCATATAAATGTCTCCTTTCTTCCAAAGGTCGTCTCAGAATTTTATTTGAACCAGCCTTTAATACTCCCTACGTTGTTTTCACAACCTGCAACTGATACAGAGCACATGCTCCACACTCTGGATGCCAGGAGAGCACTGTCTTTTTACGTTTCCTGTACCAAGGACTTCAGGTTGTCTCCCAAACTTTTCCTGTGCTATTTTGGGCAGAAGAAAGGTCTTCCAGCCTCCTCCTTGTCAATCTCATGGTGGCTGGTTACTGCGATATCTTTAGCCTATGAACTTCAGCAGAAGTCTCCACCTGAGGGTTTGCGCGTCCATTCCACCAGGGCAGTAGCCTCTTCCACAGCTCTTCTACGTGGTGTCGATCTCCCTGACATATGCAGGACTGCTACTTGGACCTGGGTGTCCACCTTTATCACCCATTATAGACTAGACATGAGGGCCAAGAGAGAAACAAGATTTGGGAGAGTTGTCCTCGCGTCCGCCCTTCAGTGACGGCCCACCTTCCAGTAAGCCAGCTTGCTAGTCACCCTTTTTGTGTGCATTCACAGAAGACCACGCTGAAGAAAGACGGGTTACTTACCTGTAACCATGGTTCTTCAAGTGGTCATTCTGTGAATTCACACAGTCCCGCCCGACCTCCCCACTATCCATCACTGCATATTTATGTGTCATGCTTGAATATCTGTGGCGGATAAATGGAACTGAGGATTGGGCGGGTGGAGCATGCGCAGTATAGGCAGTCCTAACTATGTTTCTTTTTACAGAGCTCGAGAACATTCTGAGGAGACCAGTGCAGGCGCTGACTTAACCCTTTTTGTGTGCATTCACAGAATGACCACTTGAAGAACCATGGTTACAGGTAAGTAACCCGTCTTTTTCTCACTGGAAAAACGTTTTTCCCCTGGGACCTCCTTATATCTAGGTGGACCCCGATTTATGTTCTCTTCCTACTGTATTTATGCTATTTCGGAGGATCTCCTTTCCATAGGAACAGACTTTTAGGCAGTTCAGAGGGAGGGAGGTATAAAGGCCTCATTGTGCAAATAGGACTTTTAGTCACAGTCTGAATCGAAGCTGTGGAGAAGAAAAAAAAATCCAGAAGAACGATGGGGTTTAATTTGTGATAGTATAGTTTATTTCCTGTACTTCCAGGGTGTAGGCAAAGGAATGTTGCTTATGTAGCCAAAAGAATACCACCTACAAATAAGAGAAGAATTGTCAATATGTTCAGAAGAGCCCTGAGGTTTAAAGGAATATCAAAAAACAAATAAACAACTTTGTAAGGGAACTCTTCTTTAAAAAAGAATGAGATAGATGGTTTTGCTTCTGTGAAACAACTTACTTGATGGTTTTGGCAGCAGGACTAAAAAGCCATGTGTTGGATGGAAAATGGAATGCAGTATCACGAAGAAGATACATTTGAGTGACTGCAGCAATAAATGGGAACATTCTGCAGATCCCACTTCTAAAATATATTGTTCACAGCTCACCATTTAAATTTTGTTAACTTAAAGCATTTTAAAAAATACTCAGCATTTACTTAACCATTTTACAAGCTAGATTCTGTTATTTTCCTGTTTTAGTCATGGATTGTGATCCTCTAAACCAAAAACTATTTCAGTGTAGGATATGAAACTTGGTGTCTTGCTTATGTATGTTACATGTGTTAAGTCACTTCTGACCTACAATGATCCTAATAGGGTTTTCAAGGGATGTGAAATACTGAAGGAGTGGTTTTATCTCTGCTCCCCTTTGTGAGTTTCTGTGGCTGAATGGAGATTTGAAGTGTTGTGAGTCCTAGTTTGATTCATGCATGAATTTAGTTCATGTTGTCACTGGTCAGCAGCCCTTTTTTATGGGGCTATATCATTTTGAGAGTTTATAGGTATTATAATGAAGAAACTGCTGCTCTGCAGCACCTGGCAGGTTGTTGAAATCTAAACTAACAGAAATGAACATTTTTCCTTTTTACAACCTAGGGAGCAAATTCCCCTCAGCGATACCTACCTTTTTAGGTAATATTCAAGGTGAAGAATTGTTGGGTAGCGAGTGTGATGGGGGAAGCCCACCAGCATCTCAAGAGAGCATAAAGGATGAGCCGAAAATGGGTTTAAACGAGGACCAAGCAATGATGCAAGACTGCTATAGCAAAATTGTAGAAAAGTTGTCCACGGCAAATCCAACAATGGTATTGCAGGTATAATGACTGGCAGTTCAGTCTTCTTTATGCTAATTGTGTTTGTAAGGATGGAACTGAATCTGGTATTAGACCAAGCTAGGATTGACTCATTGAAATCAACAACAGCAAAAACAGAACTATTGAGGTACTGTATCCTAAAAGTATCTTTTATTGTGAGCTGTGAAGCAGTGAATTTTAAGTGTCTGTCCTGTTAATCTAAAAAGTATTTGCAGCAGTTATTCTTAAACAACAGTACCCACTCAGTTACATTAAAAACAAATTGACATGGCAAAGGTGGAGCCCAGGAAGAGCTTCTAAAAGACAGGCCTAAAAGAGATGACGACTGAACAGCCACTGGTCTCCATTAAAAACTATCTCCTGAGGCAAAAAGGTTAAAACTGATGCTGTCCTGCTTTGGGCACATTATGAGAAGGCAAAGTTCTTTGGAAAAGACAGAATTGCTAGGAAATGTGAAAAGCAGGGAAAAAGGAAGACCAAATGCAAGCTTCACTTTACAACAGTCTTTCCCAAAGTGTGTGCTGCGACGCCTGGGTGCATTGGCAAGCCTCCCAAGGGCCGCCGTGGGAAAGGGAAAGGAAGACAGAGCAAAGCCTCTGCTCCTCCGCTGTACCTGGCAGTTCCAATCCCAGCTGCCTCCGTGGAAGTATGTTTTATTGTGAGCTGTGAAGTGAATTTTAAGTGTCTGTCCTGTTAATCTAAAAAGTATTTGCAGCAGTTATTCTTAAACAACAGTACCCACTCAGTTACATTAAAAACAAATTGACATGGCAAAGGTGGAGCCCAGGAAGAGCTTCTAAAAGACAGGCCTAAAAGAGATGACGACTGAACAGCCACTGGTCTCCATTAAAAACTATCTCCTGAGGCAAAAAGGTTAAAACTGATGCTGTCCTGCTTTGGGCACATTATGAGAAGGCAAAGTTCTTTGGAAAAGACAGAATTGCTAGGAAATGTGAAAAGCAGGGAAAAAGGAAGACCAAATGCAAGCTTCACTTTACAACAGTCTTTCCCAAAGTGTGTGCTGCGACGCCTGGGTGCATTGGCAAGCCTCCCAAGGGCCGCCGTGGGAAAGGGAAAGGAAGACAGAGCAAAGCCTCTGCTCCTCCGCTGTACCTGGCAGTTCCAATCCCAGCTGCCTCCGTGGAGTGTGTTGCTCTCGCCTCACCTGGCCGCCCTGGCTGGGGCTGGCGGTGGCGATGGCGGTGGGCGGGCTGGGCTTTCTTGTCTCCCAGCTGCCCACAGAGCTGGGCTGTCTCTGACCCTACCCAGATGCTCCCCCCAGCTGTGACTATGCGGACTGTCAAGCAGCAGGCCATGGACAGCTGGACTGGTGGGAGGAAGATCCCCCCCCCCACTGTTGCCACCCTCACAAGAGATGGCTCGGGCCAACTCCACACCCCTCCACCTACCTCCCACAGCAGATGAATGTTGAGCTGCCAGGGGTGTGGGTAGCTGCCCTTTCTGAATCTGCCTCCTTGCAAGGTGTCATGGCTTGGAGGCTGCCCTGAGGCAGCACAGGAGGAGGAGGAGGGCTCCCGCCCACCTGCCTGAGCCTGAAGGCCCAGGTGAGTGGGCTGGGAACCAGACCCAGGGAGGAGAATGAGCCACACGTGAGGAAAGGATGCCCCATGCTCAGAATTAGGCAATAGGTGAAAGCTAGTTTCAGAATATTTTAACCTGCAGAGGTGATTGTTCTTTGATCTCAAAAATAGCTGTTGTAAAAAAAAGGAATAGAAGGACATTTGTGAAGGAAACACCCAGAGTGGCTTACACCCCTAAATTCCAGTAACCATTTGAAGACTAAAATAAAAAACTAAGGCTTTTTGACTCACTAAGGATATTAAGAAACTAGTTTATGATCATGTTTATTGACAAAAGTTATGTCCTTTGGCAAAACTCTGGCTCAGAATTAAAAGTTTCAAGAAGAGCTAAACACTTTAGAACCTGAAATTAAATGTTTTGCACTTTAAAGATAACCATATGCTTACTTGGTGGACTTTACTTTAGTTAATATATCTCTTTATTGCCAGAATGTTCATGTAATCAGTACTTTGAAATTTCATTACCTGTGTTAATGCTGTTGTCACTTTGAAAGATCATTATCTGTGCCTGCGTTGGTCTTCACTTTGTACCCAACCCCAGAATCATCTAACTATTTATATAAACCTGTGGTCTAACTATTATGCCCCATGGGTCTGTGGAAGTTATGCATAAAAATTCACACTGAAATTGAATCTTTAAGGTGCCACAGTATTTTTGCATTTGCTTTTATTTTGTTCTTATTATAAGCACAGAAACAGATAATCATGACTTTGTCTTTGATAACTTAAATAAATACAATGTATGTGAGGGTTGGCTCACGTTGAAACAGTTTTTGTAAGCCAACTTGCATCCCATTATTGGGAGAAGGAGGGGTATAAATAAAATGAACAAATGACTGAAATATTTTTATTTCACTGGTCTACTCTTGTTGAGACTAAAATTGGATTTAGCCCATAAGATGCACAGTCATTTGCTTTATGTTTTACCAGTTTACAGAATGTGTTGTCAACTTGCAGATTCTGGGAACCACATCCGCGGCTGTACAGCTAAAATAAAATATGTTGATACTCCTCTAGGTTCAGATGCTCGTAGCAGAGTTGCGCAGAGTCACTGTTCTTTGGGATGAACTTTGGCTGGGGGTGCTTTTGCAACAGCACATGTACGTCCTTAGACGGATTCAGCAGCTAGAAGATGAAGTAAAGAGAGTCCAGAACAACAACACTCTACGCAAGTGAGTTTTTGGCAGAAATGGCATAGTGGTATGTGCTGTGCATGGAAATTCTTTCCTAGTCTAAACAGTCATTCTTGCATAGCTAGAAGTGACTTCAAAGGTCATCTAGCCCAACCTCAGCTGATGCAGCAAATTCCTCAATTTGTTGATAAGTGGCAGTCAAACCCCTGCTTGATGGCTCTGAGGGCGGCCCACTGTTACCCAGGATGTTGCGATTAATTAATTAATTAAAATATTTTTACCCCGCCTTTTTATTCAGGAGAAGGACCAAAGGCGGCTTGTATAATTAAAAGAGAATATTTAAAGCTAAAAATAGTAAGTATACAGATACTAAAAAGAGTCAAATACACTAAAAGATAGTAAACAAAAAGCAACACCAAAAACACATTCAAAGCAGTAAAATACAACCATCCATTAAAAAAACTTACTCTAATGCTAGCTTTGTTTCTATTTGTTTGGAATTATTGCATTTTATACTTTCATCACCAGTTACCTTGACCACTCAAGGGATGGTTGAGGAACATATAAATGAATAAATAATGATATGTTAGTTATAATGTTTTATTGTGAGAATATTGGCACTGATAGGAAACACAACTTATCTTTTTTTCCCAACTCTTCTGTATTTTTAGAGAGGAAAAAATAGCCATAATGCGTGAAAAGCACACAGCCTTGATGAAGCCTATTGTATTTGCCTTGGAACATGTGCGGAGCATCACTGCAGCACCTGCTGAGACACCTCATGAGAAGTGGTTTCAAGATAACTATGGCGATGCTATTGAAAATGCCTTGGAGAAACTGAAGAACCCCTCTAATCCTGCCAAACCTGGAAGCAGCTGGATTCCTTTTAAAGAGGTTTACTATTTCTAGTTTTCTAAGAATCAGTTAATTAAAGTTTTTTTCTCCGACATGTGAATAAAAATATGCCTCTGCTTTTGTAATTCAGACTATTGGCAAATTAGTTCCAACTTGAAAAGTTTTGCATTTAGCATCCTGTCTGAGTTTTAGACAACTTAGAAAAAAGTAATTAAAATTGTCTAGAAATAACTAACAATTTTCCAGTTCTCATATTTATATACCTGTGGATGAATGCAGTTGTATCTATATCTGGAAACTAAAAAATTAGTCCAAGAACTTCTCAAAGGACATTTATAGTTTGAAAATAATTAGGTAGCTGACATCTCTGAGATTGTTTCTTTTTGGTAAGGACAGTTGGTTTCGGCCTCATCTGAAATGTTGTCTTTAAAAACAGGTTATGCTCAATCTTCAGCAGAGAGCCCAGAAGCGTGCTAGTTATATTCTGCGTCTTGAAGAAATCAGTCCCTGGCTTGCTGCCATGACCAACACCGAAATAGCACTCCCTGGAGAAGTGTCGGCCAGAGACACAGTCACAATTCATAGTGTGGGGAATACTATTACAATTCTTCCAACGAAAACCAAACCTAAAAAGCTTCTTTTTCTGGGCTCAGATGGAAAAAGCTACCCATACCTTTTCAAAGGTAAAGATTTTAGAAGATCTTAAGAACTGAAATAGAATAGGGATGTTTTGGAATAGAGTAAGTAGAAATTGGTGTTTCTTTTTCGTTACAGTATATGTATTAACACTGTTTGGATGAAAAAAAATGTGCATAGCTTTGCCATGTATCACTGATGATGCCATCAGCTATGGCTTAAAAAATAACAACAGATTTTTGCCACTGCCCATGGGATGGGGTGCGATTTTAATTACCAAAAATTGGTACTACTGGTGTTGTCAGCCTGGTGGTGATTTTTGGAAGTTAAAACTCTCCTACCATCTCATTGTGGATCATGTTATCAAGCCTTACATGCCTTAGCTGCATGAACAGGATTTCATATACTGTGGCAGAGCTATACAAAAGACTCTGAGGGAAGAGCCCCATCCAGTTTCTATCAAGTTATATACCATGGTGTTTTGGATCTTGGAAGGGCACAATTTTCCTGTGATCCATCCCTTCCTCTTTTGTAATTACGCAGTTAGTGCACTTTCAGTGGACCACTAGAGGGCCTTAGGAGAGAGTGGGAAGGATTCTGCAATCCTAAGTAAGGAGAGCAGCAGCTGACAGCTGATCCTGGTGAGTCTGGGATGTCAAAGAGGGAAGCTTTGCATTTTGAGATCAATAAAGATGATGTTCAGGAATTGAACATTCATACAGGAAGGGAGAAGACACAACAAACACACGAGAAGTGTGGTAGCATTGGGTTTAACTAAATCATTTCTGAAGATCTGAAACAATAACTTGGTAGAAAAAAGTATACAACTAATAATAATATGTAAAAGGAGACATTAACAAAACGCTTGAGGATGATGAAATATGTTATCATTGAATATTGCGGAGTTGTGATTTATTTCTTATACTTCTAGGATGTTAAAAACAACTTTGGTTTCCTACATCTAGCTTTTACAATAGAGTGATAAAAGTGAGGAGATGGTGGAAGGCTGAAGATGAACTTGGAAGACCTGGCATTGATGGACAGAACTGGAGGCTCTGTGGCTTTCATAGATTCTTGTCCCTGATAATCCTACGTAGCCTTTTAAATTGGATGTTTCCTTCCCATCCCTGCCACACTGATCCAAACTGTGCTGTTACTCTAGCTCTTTGGGTTTGCCCTACACAAGCCTTCCATAAGACACAGCAAAACATGTTTTGACATACTTGTCATACACCTTGTGATGCGATACAGAATAAAAGCACTGAGCCTTTGTGTCCTGTCAAACTGCATACTAAGACCTCCAGTACTCTTGTAGTTAGATCCTGGCCCTTCCCAAGATGAATCTAGCAGCCTGAGCTAAGAAGGTTTTTTTTCACATGAACACTTGTCTGTCCTTCCTGTGATTCTTTCTACAAGTGATAATGTGAATCTGTTTTAACTTTAAAGAAGATAATTGTGTATGTGTGTGTAAAACTCTCTGTGTGTCTACTTTTTCCTATAGGACTGGAGGATCTGCATCTTGATGAACGGATAATGCAGTTCCTGTCCATTGTTAACACAATGTTTGCTACAATAAATCGTCAAGAGACACCTCGCTTCCATGCCAGGCATTACTCTGTCACACCACTGGGAACAAGATCAGGCTTGATTCAGTGGGTGGATGGAGCTACCCCTTTATTTGGACTTTATAAAAGATGGCAGCAACGAGAAGCTGCTTTACAAGCACAAAAGGTATATTTTATATAGCCTGATGTCACTGGGGAATTAGACTCTTTGTAATTCCTCCATTAATGCTTATTGTAATTAAATAATTACATGCTGTCAGCTCAACTCCATCACATGGCAATATTTTCTGCGGTTTTCTAGTTATATAGAGTACTTAGAGTGGTTTACAGTCCTAGAGTGCCCCTTTCTTCTGGGAGTGATTCTCTAGGACTGTGCAGCTTGCTAATGGCTGCACAAGCTGGCTGTTCTCCTGGGAGGCACAGCGAGCAGTGGAACTCCCAACCTCTGGCTCTGCAGCCTGATATCCAAATGACCGAGCTATCCAAGTAGCTTGCATTTTCTAAGGCAGAGTAAAAAGACTGAGCTATCCAACTAGCTTGCATTTTCTAAGGCAGAGTAAAAACTGATTAGAATTGTATGTCTAATTCTGATCAGAGGTTTTTCTTTGCCTTAGCAGAGAAATATATGCTAAGACCCTTATAATAAATGACTTCTTCCAATCCTGCCTACCTCACGTGTAGCTGATTTTATTAATAATTGCCATTCAAAGCTGAGTTCTACCTTCTGTCATACTGTCTGTTTGCTAAGCGCACTCATAAATGTTTAAATAACAACCACCTACATATTTGGAGTATTAGCATAATGTTGCAGTGCATTGGAAAGAAATGTGAAAACTGGGAAGCTACAAAAATTGCCAGTTTTATGTATCACTTTAGGGGGAGTAACTTGCTGAAGGGAAAAGAAAAAGACTTTGTTTTGATCTTGTACTCTTGCTGTTGAAATTGATTGAATTGCCAGTGGAAGAATTTGCGACATTGTATATAATAAAGTAAGATTTGATAGCTCTTTGTTGCTGTGGGTTCATGAGAGGGAAACTAGAACTACTCGGCATGTTCTTGCTCCTCCGGCTGAGAAGGGAAAGAGGAAAATTAGAGCTGAAGCAGGAGAGAGGATTTTGGAGAAAGAGAAAAATGTATTTATAAAAATGGTATTATGGCTGCACCACAAAAATGGGATGGATATGAGGTGCATTTTATGAAGTGATAGACCCATAATGTAATAGTTAAACGTAGCTGTAAAATACATAGAGGTCACTTTGAGATCTTGATTTTTTCAGTATTCTTCCTTAAACTGATCTGTTTGTAAAAGATTGATTTGGTAAAAAGATACCTGGTGAAGAAACAATCAGTATACTAAGAGCAAACAACAGTGAAGATTTACTTACCTGTTACAAATCATACTGCCATTAATAATTAATTCTAATATTCTAAACACAAATATTCCTCAGATTAATCTGGGTAGGCAAATAATATTTAATTAATATTTAATTTTAGGCTCAGGATTCCTATCAGACTCCTCAAAATCCTGGAATAGTACCTAGACCTAGCGAATTGTACTACAGTAAAATTGGACCAGCACTAAAGGCAGTCGGACTGAGCTTGGATGTGTCCCGTCGAGATTGGCCTCTAAATGTAATGAAGTCTGTTTTAGAAGAATTGATGGAAGCAACACCACCCAATCTTCTTGCCAAAGAACTTTGGTCATCATGTACAACACCTGATGAATGGTGGAGAGTAACACAGGTAGGCAGAGGACTCACAAAAGATGTGTGGCGTTGTTTTGGATGAGTGTGTGCAGTATAGTTCCTTGCTTTATGTACATCTGCTTTTTATCTACGCATGTTGATTGGTTTGTTTTATTGAGTGAGAATAAATGTTAAAAATGGTTTCCCCTATTTCAGAAAGCCACTACCCCTGATAATATAACTGTTTTGTAGTACAGCCCTGGGTGTGATAATTTCAGTAGTAAAGATGGCAGCTTGCTTGGGGGGGTCATAGAGGAGGGTCACATAGGTACTGATATGCTTACCCTTTATTTTTCACTTCCTATTATTTAAACCACAGGATAACAAAATTGTATGTCTGCAATTCTTCCCCACTGCTGTGCTTTACCTTATGTAAGAGAACATGGTTCTACATGTTATCTGTTCACTGACATTGTTGCTTCATCATGGTTTTAAATTTCTCTCAACTGGCAGGAAAACAAACATATGATCTTCTTTTTTTCTCCTAAGTCTTATGCAAGATCCACTGCAGTTATGTCCATGGTTGGCTACATCATCGGCCTTGGAGACAGACATTTGGATAATGTTCTTATAGATATGACTACTGGAGAAGTAGTTCACATAGATTATAATGTTTGCTTTGAAAAAGGAAAAAGCCTTCGCGTGCCAGAGAAAGTTCCATTCCGGATGACACAAAATATTGAAACAGCATTTGGAGTAACAGGAGTAGAGGGAGTGTTCAGGCTTTCTTGTGAACAGGTAGGCTGTGCAATATAGGCTTATACAGATCTGAATCCCCATGTATTTTGTTATCAGTGGCTTTTCTGTGTAGTGGTTACTTGTGAAATACCGTTTCCAGGAAGGCATGTCTGGTCCCAGCCTTCAGATGTTGGGCACAACTTTTTCAAAGGTTCATAAATACTGATCTGTGTTTGTTAATTGCAAATACATAATTAACACAATAAATGTATTTTAAAAATAGGTTCTGCACATAATGCGGCGAGGGCGGGAAACCCTGCTTACATTACTTGAAGCTTTTGTTTATGACCCCCTTGTGGACTGGACTGCAGGAGGAGAAGCAGGATTTGCTGGAGCAGTGTATGGTGGAGGAGGGCAGCAAGCTGAAAACAAGCAGAGCAAGAGAGAAATGGAAAGAGATATCACGCGCAGCCTGTTCTCTTCCAGAGTAGCAGAAATAAAGGTGTGCTTAACTCCTTTTTAAAAATGTTAATGTTTGGCAATCATAAATTTATTATTTTCTTAAAATCTTGGAGTAGTGTGTAAGTTTTTTTCCACTCCAAATAATTTTGATTATAGAATTTCAAACACTTTCCTTCCTTTTGTTACTCTTCAATTTAAGGCTTGTCCTTTAAGATATGGAAACACAAGTGCTTAAATTATGTGTTTTACCATTTCATGTCATTTAAAAATTAGACTTGCTTTGAACTCCCTAAGTATGTGCCTAGTAAGTAAGTAAGTCTGCGTATCGGGACGAGGTATTACATTTATATTTATATTTTTAATACTCTGTCCATAATCCAGAGGTAAGGGAGGGTGATACTTTTATTATACTGCAAAAAAATTCACAAACATAATGCTAGCTGTTTACCCCTCATGAGTCGTCATGAGGCTGGACCCTACAGAACTGGGGTGGTACAGAAGAAATATTAAAATTCCAGATATCTTGGCCAGATGGGCAGTCTAGACTTCTCTGCTAAAGTAAGTTTCAGAATGGGTTCTGCAGACTCGGGACAGATTTCATGTCTTGTCTCTCTTTTGTTGGAATCTCTCTCACACAGCTTTGTTAGAGACAACTTGATGAAAGCTCATGCATGGTCAAAAGCAAGCTTATGTTTGTGATTTTTTTTTTAGTGGTCAAATAGTGGTGTCATCCACTCTTGTCCTAAGATTGTTTAGAAGGACCCCACAACCTTTTTCTCTTTCCTGTGTCTACTTTAGTTAATGTAATATTTCTTTACAGGTCAACTGGTTTAAAAACAGAGATGAAATGCTGGCTGTGCTACCTAAATTGGATAGTAGTTTAGAAGAATATTTAAATTTGCAAGAACAGTTAACAGAAGTTGAGAAATTGCAAAGCAAGCTACTAGAAGAGAGTGACTATTTGGAAGGAGCAGAAGAAGGGGATCACCCATCTCATACACTACAGCACAGGTATTAAAATTTATGCTTTTTTGTACTTTAGCGCAGAAGAAAGGGCTTTGCGTGCCAGATGCGGCACATGTGCAATAGGTTCGCCATCACTGATCTACTCATCATGAAGAGGCAACACAGCATGCTGTTGCAGAATGCGGAGCCCTAATAATGTTATATGATTGTTCCCTGCCACGTGTTAGCTGCTGAATGTTTTATTTGCATCTTAGTGTGTTTTAATTTTGTACAGTATGCCAATAAAGGTTTCTGTCTGTCAAAAATACTCTATTCAGTATTATGTAGTCTTTTGTCTGTCTCTAGCATGTGCTATCACAATGCAGTAATATCCTTTGTGGCCGTATAAATAAGTTTTATTTGTAACATTGATAAGTTACCTTTATCAGTGACTTCCTGGTGGTTTACAGAAGTTAATTAAGTAAAACCACAGTACATGCATGCAAAACAATTAGATACTAATGCAGTGCAAAGTCCAAATTTAGTGTGTTTACAATAACAAAGGTGTGTTTAAAATTGTTGCTCTTACTCCAGACTACATTGGGTTTATTTTTAGAAGCATTAAGCAATGTATTCCATATGCCAAATATGCTAGAGTTTCTCATGTACATGTCTATAGAAATTTAGAGTTGAATATAATATTCATATAAGGTTGCAACGTTCTTTTAATGCAGGTATTCTGAACACACTCAGCTGCAGTCTCAGCAGAGAGCTGTACAGGAAGCAATCCAGGTGAAACTGAATGAATTTGATCAATGGATATCTCATTATCAAGCTGCTTTCAATAATTTGGAGGCAACACAACTTGCAAGTCTGCTCCAGGAAATTAGTACCCAGATGGATCTAGGTATGGAATAACAAAGTGCTTACTCTCTGTCCCTTTCTAACCTTCTGTTAGGTTGAGTGTGGCATGGTAGTATGAGGGCCATTAAAAAGCAGTTGGTCGATTTATGTAGTGGTTTAGAGTCTCTCTATGTGGTTTTCCATAGTGGTTGTATTATTTGTTATTTCAGACTCACATGCACTTAAAACTATGGCCAGTATGGCCGCAGCCACATACTGAAGGTCATCTTCCACACAAGGTGGTGAACCTAAATGGTCTGATGCTCTGCCAGTAATGGTGGGATGCAGTGGCTGTGAGCTTATTCTGTTCAAGTAACAGCTATAATTTTTGAATCTTTTTATTATAACAGTTGTGGACATGCTCAGTTTTCTTAACGATTCATTTCAAAGGTCCTCCAAGTTATGTACCTGCAACAGCTTTCCTTCAGAATGCTGGCCAGGCTCACTTGATCAGTCAGTGTGAACAGTTAGAGGGAGAGGTCAGCGCTTTACTTCAGCAGAGGCGGTCAGTTCTACGTGGATGTCTTGAGCAACTGCACAATTATGCCACTGTAGCTCTTCAGTACCCCAAGACTGTGTTTCAGAAACACCGTGTTGAACAGTGGAAGACTTGGATGGAAGAACTCATTGTTAACATGACAATTGAACGTTGTCAAGAACTTTACCGGAAGTAAGTTGTCAGACCTATTGGATAAGAATGCAGAAAACTAATTCCTTTTATAGCTCAATGATTGTGTGAAATTGGTGTTACAGTATAACCTAATGTAACTCGGCTTTAATAGCAATAAGCACTTATATCTTTACTATTTCAGTTTTGAATATCAGTAAGTAATGGTGGGATGTGTTGGCGCTGCGGCTTAAACTGCAATGCCTCTGGGCTGCAAGGTCAAAAGATAGCAGTTCGAATCCACACAAAGGAGTGATCTTCTGTCGCTCGCCCCAGCTCCTGCTAACCTAGCAGTTTGAAAGCATGTAAAAATGCGAGTAGATAAATAGGTACCACCTTGGTGGGAAGGTAACAGCGTTCCGTGTCTAGTCGCGCTGGCCACGTGACCATGGAAACGGTCTATGGACAAACGCTGGCTCTAGGGCTTGGAAACATATGAGCACCGCCCCCTAGAGTAGGACACGACTGGACAATTTGTTAAGGGGAAACCTTTACCTAAGTAATCTTTATATTCCACTTCTGCTGTGACCTTGCATTGCAAAGATTATACAGTAGTACTGTAATGTTTAACAGCAGGGCAATCAATGTTAGGGAGGTGACTGGATTGTCAATTACAGGAAACAAGCAATGTGCTTTAAAATATTTTGTAACTTAATTTTTTCCTCAGGTATGAAATTCAATATGCTCCTCAGCCCCCTCCTGCTGTATGCCAGTTCATAACTACTACAGAAATGACTTTGCAGCGATACGCTGCAGATATAAACAGCAGGCTTATCCGACAAGTGGAACGTTTAAAGCAAGAAGCGGTCACTGTTCCAGTGTGTGAGGAACAGTTGAAAGAAATAGAGCGTTGCATTAAGGTCTTCCTTCATGAAAACGGGGAAGAAGGTTCACTGAGTTTAGCAAGTGTTATCATCTCTGCTCTGTGTACTCTGACCAGGTGAGACTCTTTCAATATTTACCAGTTGACGAATTGTTTTTGATGGTGTCCCTTTTGTTTTCTTTTGTGTCATGTTACAGTTCACTAACATGCTGTATCTAGGAATTGAACTTTATGCTTTCAAATGTTTTAAGAGTCTTGATAAAGATTTGAGATACATAAAATGAATAATAAATCTATTTATTGACCAATTAACCTTTTCATTTAGGCGTAACCTAATGATGGAAGGTGCTGCGTCTAGTGCTGGAGAACAGCTGGTAGATCTGACGTCAAGAGATGGAGCCTGGTTCTTGGAGGAGTTGTGTAGCATGAGTGGGAATGTTACCTGTCTTGTGCAGTTACTGAAGCAGTGTCATCTGGTCCCACAAGATCTGGATATTCCTAACCCTGTTGAAGCATCAGAAGCTATTCACCTAGCTAATGGTGTTTACATATCACTTCAGGTGAAATGTATCTACAATATATTTAGTAATATCATTACCAAATAAGCCCCTCTTTGTGGTAAAGTATAGTACAGAATAATGAATATTCTGAAATATATGTGAAGTCATGTTGTCACAAAGTTATGGAGTATAGATGAAATAAAGCTGAAGAAGGATTCTAAAGGTGTTAGAAATGTCAAGGTGTTAGAAAGAACACTAATAGAAACTAATAGTTTAATGAAAATAATGGGGCTTTCTTCTGTATAAATGTACATAGGATGGCACCCAGAAAATTCAGTGTCTTTTCATTGAAGGAACCTGTTTCTAAGTGCATTCTGTATGAAACACATATTTTGATTTTGCTGATTTTTGTTCCAAAATTGGAAGCATGACATAGTTGCTTCTGGGCAGTATGGACTTGTGGTTTTCAATAAGGAATTATAATAGTATGAGTCAAGCCTTCTTGTCTGTGTGTTGCCCTGCAGATTTATGTGTGTATATCTAATGCATTGAGTCTCTGGAAGGAACATTTCTATACTTAAGAGAAGAGAAGGTGAAAACAGTTTAGAGCAGGCAGCATAGCACTGCAGCAGATTACTTTGTAACTCCCTAAATAGGGCTGCTTTCTCCTTGGAGGTTTGCAGCTGTCACTTAAGTGGATTGATGCTCCAGTATTAGATCTGGAGAAGATCTTCAGTCTTTTAGAATTTATTTCTCACCCTTTCCTTGCTTTTTATTTGCATCGCATTTTATTTGGCTATTTAACAAATCTGAGAAGACAAAATCTTAAGATGTATCTTCATTCATATTTCTTACAAGAAAGGATTTTTCTGTATGTTTGCATTTCCTACCTGTAAGGACTGATTTGTTGTTTTTAACATAATGTTTTTACTTTTACTTTTATTTATTTGTTACTTTTATGTTCTGCCTTTCCTCCTATGTGCTCAGAGCAGCATGTCTGATTATCTGTTCCACTTTATTCTCACAACAAGCCTGTGAGGGAAGTCAAGCCTGAGAGATGTTGTGACTGGCCCCATCTTGCCTGGTGTGATTTTGTACAGTGGGGTCTTGACTTAAGAACGGCTTGAGTCAAGAACATTTTGACTTAAGAACCACTCTCATAGGAAAATATTGACTTGACTTACATACTTAGATTTGAGTTAAGAACTGAAAAAAAACCACGTGGGAGGCAGGGAAAGTGCAAAATTTGAACTTTCAGTTAACTGTTGGCCAGTGAAAAGGGTGCCTGTCTGCTTCCTCACTCCTCCCAGCATTTAGAGAGTGGATTGGGAGACAGTCTTCAGACTGCCTGGCACTGTCCTGCCTGGACTGTATTTTCCCTGCCTTCCCTGAACCTTTCTTGACCTAAGAAAAAAAGAAACAAATATCCCCCTCTCGTGGTCAAAGGCAGAATAGCAGCTTCCCATTAGTTTCTATGGACGGAAAAGAGCAGATACAGATCAAATGGTTTTCAATGCATTCCTATGGGAAATGCAGATTTGACCTGAGAACTTTTTGACTTGAGGACCACCTTCTAATACGGATTAAGTTCTCAAGTCAAGACCCCACTGTAATACTTTGGGAACATTGCTGGAAAGGCAGTATATACTAAATAAATACAAATCAGATGTAATTGACATATCTAAGGCATGTATTTTAGTACACCCAGCCATATGCCTGATTAAACAATACTTTTAAAAATTATGAACTAATGCAAAAAAACATTCCAAAGTATGGTGCTTTATTTGGTTCTCTCTTTCTCTTCTCTCACCTGTTATCCTTTGAAAACCAAATAATGGCAGAGTAACAAAGAAGATACTGGCTGTTTTGTGCGTCATTTACATGTTTGTTCTTCAAACAGGAACTGAATTCAAATTTCCGTCAGATCATTTTCCCAGAAGCTCTTAGATGCTTAATGAAAGGAGAATACACTTTAGAAAGCATGCTGAATGAACTGGATAGTCTCTTTGAACAAATCACTGATGTACCTTTGCAAACTCTGGTTGAGTCTCTTCAAGCTTACTTAAGAAGTGCAGCCATGGGTCTTGAGGAAGAAACGCATGCTCAGTATATTGATGTTGCAAGGTAAATGACCTGTAGGCATGATTCATTTTACCTTGGTTTCACTGTATCTAGATTAAGCTTTATTGACGGGAAGCAGTTTTATGTAGAGTTTAAATGATACTGTGAACAACAGATAAATCCAAGCTAAATACTATTGGTTTAAACCATAGTCCCACTGTCTGGAACCTGCAAAGTAGGTAGGATTTTAAAAGTAACCTTAGCCATAACCTTTTGGGTTGGTCCAGCTGGCCGGCATGGTCAGTGGTACTGAAGTCTCCAGGGAGCTCTAGTAGAACCAAGAACACACCTTCCTTGCTGAGCTCCAGTTACTTGAAAGAGTGACCAAAACCAGCTTTCTCAGAATGCTAGTTTAGAAGGCAAACTAAAAAGGGTCAATTAAAATCACATTGCAATGATAAATGGTAACTATTGGGTATACCTTTGGCATAAAAGATGAATTTAGGAAGACAAGTAAAAGGAAGCTTGAAGAAAGCAGTTGAAGAGTCTGAAAAAGTCTTGACATTAGATGACTGTGAGAGTGAATGTTCTTTTATAATCACTTGGCAATTCTAGCATGTGCAGATACCATCTGCATACTTTGTCATTGTTTCCTGATATAAGCTGGTTTAGTAATTAATTTCAAAACAGTTGTGAGAAGTCCTCTGTGTTTTATAGAGGAATGGCGCTTCTAAGATTATCACTGCTTCATTAATGAAGGCATCAATATTGGATTGCTTCTTTCTCTTCTGCCTTATTTTATTTGTATGTAGTTGTATTAAGGATATATCACTTAAAGCTGCAGTCTTGTGAAATGTAAATGGAAGGTCTCATTGAATATCGTGGGGTTTGCTTCTGAATTGAAATGTATAGAATTGATCTGTAGAACACATACATTTCTGAAACAGAGCAGCAGTCCTAATTGTGTCTATCTTTAGGTCTTGAATAACCAAATAACCCTAACTATTGACTGCTTCTTTTTTTAGGATGCTTCATGCCCAGTATGCTGAACTCATTCAGCCAAGGAATGGATCAGTGGATGAAACACCCAAGATGTCAGCTGGCCAGATGCTGTTGGTAGCATTTGATGGAATGTTTGCCCAAGTGGAAACAGCATTTGGCTTATTAGTTGAAAAGGTACAGTATATGCTTCCTTCAGAAATTAACTTTGACAGTGAGACATTTAGAAGGCAAGAAAGCTAACTCTTTATTTTAATTCAGCTAAACAAGATGGAGATTCCTGTTGCCTGGCGCAGAATAGACATAATCAGGGAAGCTCGCAGTACCCAAGCCAACTTTTTTGATGATGATAACCATCGGCAAATTTTGGAAGAGATTTTCTTTTTGAAAAGGCTGCAGACAATAAAGGAATTTTTCAGACTCTGTGGTACTTTTTCTAAAACTCTTGCAGGTAAACAAATACAATATATTTTAAAACATTTCATCTTCTGTGTGTTCAGCTAAAGGGCAGATAAAATTCTGAATAATAATAGCTGGTTGGGTGAAAAACAGAAAATTGGCTGAAATCCTGTGATAAGTCACAACTGGAGTAGGACCATTGAATCGGTGAAACTTACAGAGGAGAATCATCAAATCCTCACTGATTCAGTGGACCTACTCTAATTGTGACACTATGAGATTTCAACTTTAAATTTTGTCTCGCAACCAGCTGTGCCAGCAGAGTGTAAAATGATTATGTTAATGGTATATAGGCATACAGTTATTTGGCTAGAAAGAGGCATTGCCAGAAAATATGTTGTGTTGTTTAGAAAAATTATTAGTAAAGTTGCAAGACATGTGAATCAACAAATGCAGATAATTTATTTCTGTGTTCGCACAGAACACCAAACTCAAGAGTTGTCCCTTTATTTGCTCTAGGTTGTTTATTTACTCTAGGTTTCCATAACTTGCTCTACTGTTGAACAGTGGGATATTCTATATGGGTATTGAGTATTGACTTTGTTAATGTCAACACTCAATGTTGAGTGGATAAAACAGACTAAATGTCTGTATCCATATTCTCCTGTGGAAAATAACTGGCTTACTTGAAATGCTTTGAAAGTGATGTCAACAATAACGAAATTCCTGCACCCATTAGTTTCCATTTTACATTTTGCACGTGATGCAAGTCTGTCTCCCTTTTTTATTCAGAAGTTTTGCGTAACATAAAAATTAGCACAGATGAAGACCTGAAGGAGCAGACCAAGATACAGTGGTGCCTCGCATAGCAACGTTAATCCGTGCAGCAAAAATCGCTGCTAAGTGAATTCATCGCTATGTAATTTTAAAAAGCCCATAGAAATGCATTGAAACCCCTTCAATGCGTTCCTATGGGCTTAAAAACTAACCTTAAGTGAAAATCCTCCATTGCGGCGGCCATTTTCGGTGCCTCTAATGCGAGGCAACACAGCAGGTGGCCATTTTGTTTACCCGGCGGCCATATTGGAACCACCGATCAGTTGTTTTAAAAAATCATTGCTTTGCGATGATTGGTAAGCAAAACAGGGAACCGATCATCGCAAAGTGAAATTCCCCCATAGGGAACATCGCAAAGTGATCGCTTTTGTGATCGCAAAATGTTCGTCGGTATGCGGTTTCGTCATTAAACGGAGCGCTCGTTAAGCGAGGCACCATGTAATATCATATGGGTGCAATCCTTTTTGCATAATTTATGCCTGCAGAACGATGATTATGTCACTGGCAAGAGGAGATTTTTGGTAATTAAAGACTTCCACATCTTATCTGATCTGCAAGAAGTCTCTTTTGTCACAAAGAAGCCATGGAAGCCTTGGGAGGGAAGGAAGAAATCTTCAATTACTGAGAATTGCCCCCTGCTGTAATGCCATCTGCTGGCAGTGATTTTCAGTAATTAAAGACTTTCTCCTTCTATCCTATAGCTCCCATGGCTTCTACATGATTCAGGGCATTACATGTTCAGAATTCGAAAAACTGTGGGACAGAAAGGAGAAATTTTAATGTATGTCCTGCTAGTGACATCTCCACCTTTTTGTGGGTTTAAGTTATGTAACAAGATTTCAGCCTATGCACAATCCTAATGACAATTTGGTAATACTGTAATGGAACTAGCTAAATCAGTACATGCACCTTGTAGTGCATTTTTTTATTTATGTTTTGCTTTTAGATTGCATCTTTCCTCCAATAAGCTTAAGGCATTGTACATGGATCTTTCTTCCTGTGTAAGCCTCATGACAATCCTGTGAGGTTGGATGAGGTTGAGAGAGAGAATGATAAATCCAAGGTCACACAGTGACTTTCATGGTTCAGTGCTGGCTCATACATGCCCTGTGCCCTGATACATTTCTAGCTCCTGCATCACACTAGCTGTTAAGATTGAGTTCATAGTTACATTACAGAGAGTGTGAACCTAACCTATTTGCCTGTTGCAAAATGCCACATGATGTCATTCTTCCACCATTCTGAGATACAAGCAGTAGAGAAGAGTCTTTAGATCCTTGTTCTAATTCTCTGTGATCTTTTTTACAAAGGTATAAGTTCAGTTGAAGATCAAAACACTGTGAATGGACCAGTGCCTATGGTCAATGTGAAAACACTGTATCGGAATTCTTGCTTTAGTGAAGATCAAATGGCCAAACCAATCAAAGCGTTCACAGCTGACTTTGTACGACAACTTTTAATTGGCCTTCCGAATCAAGCATTGGGACTTACACTGTGCAGTTTCATTAGTGCTCTGGGTGTGGATATAATTGCTCAAGTAGAAGCAAAGGACTTTGGGGCTGAAAGCAAAGTCTCAGTGGATGATTTATGTAAAAAGGCAGTAGAACACAATATCCAAATTGGCAAATATTCACAATTGGTTATGAACAGAGCAACAGTGTTAGCCAGTTCATATGATACTGCATGGAAGAAGCATGACCTTGTACGGAGACTGGAGACCAGTATTTCTTCTTGTAAGACAAGCCTTCAGAGAGTGCAGCTCCATATTGCTATGTTCCAGGTAAGTCACTAATTTATCTCAGAATGTTTTGTGCAAATGTGGGAAGAGCATATGAGTCCATGATGGGTGTTTTGGGACACATCTGTACCATGAAGAGAGAACTTTTGTTTTTTTACAAATCAGGTTGCCTGTTGAAGTTTTAATGTATATGTTATGCATTTAGTAGTAATAATTTAGCAAACATCTTAGAGGTATATCCAGTATTCTCAAAAGAATGGTGCAATTGAGCCTGAAAGAATGATAATTCTCGTATCACCCATAGCGTTTGAGAGGACGTTGGAGGTAGGAAGGGTTGGTAATAGAGTTTGCTGGAACTCTGTGGAAGCAGGATAGTTGTAATATTTCAAGATGATTGCCCTTTCTAATTACACAGCCATACATTATTGAGTAGGATATAGTTTTCTTATATCAGAACAGTACTTTTACTATTCCTTAAGTTCTGTATTTATCATTTGGTAATGATAGTCCTCACTGACTGAAATATCATGTTGAATTAACCATTAGGTTAGGATTGTGTTTGTTTTTATGGTGGCTGTAGCTTGCTGATTTATTCATTTCTGCACCATTTCCTAACTCTGAACTAAAATGTCTGTCTTTTTTTCTCTTTCAAAAGTGGCAGCATGAAGATCTCCTCATTAATCGCCCACAAGCCATGACAGTCACTCCTCCACCTCGCTCTGCAATTCTAGCCAGCATGAAGAAGAAACTTCATACCCTTGGCCAGATTGAAGCTTCAATTGCAGCAGTTCAGGTTAGTTTCTTCCATGAAGAAAACATGGGAAACATTGAGAAAGGTATGTCTCTGTACACTGAATACACAGATGCCAAGTAACTGGTTCGCAAAGAACTGGGGAATAGTGATTTCCTCAACTCCATTATTTCTGTACACTTGAAACTGCAGAAGGGTAATAGCACCTCAAAGTACCTAACCTAGGGGCAATCATTCTTCCTAAGTGCAGATTGCTGCTTCATAATGGTACAAGTTACTGCTTGTCACTTCAAGCCTTCAAGGGAGGGTATACTTGAAGTTTTCCCTGTTGGAAACATGTTGGCCTTCATTCTTAATCATATTGCAAAGATCTGTTCTGCACAGGACCAGTGTAAACGCAAATGGTAAGATTTAAATTTTCATGCTGTTTTACTTACGCAGGAGAAATTGGCAGCACTGGAAGCAAGTATTGAGCAGCGCTTGAAATGGGCAGGAGGAGCTAATCCAGCATTAGCACCAGTCCTTCAAGATTTTGATGCTACAATAGCTGAAAGAAGAAATCTTGTCCTTAAAGAAAGCCAAAGAGCCAACCAGGTACTTCTGGAGGATGTAATGAGTTTGTGATGGGTTTTTAGCAACACATTTTGTTAACAGAAGAGAAGCTAGGCATCTAACGAATATTTTGCCAGGTATGTCTGTGAAGATTCTCAGTCATCCTGGTGAGGTTAGCTGGAAGTTGAGTCTTTCTTATTAGGTTGACTTCTTTCTTATTAGGTTGCCAGATACAGTGGTGCAACAGAAGGGTGTGGTATACTGTGCTAATACAAACTATTTGTGTTTTTCATCTTTCAAACTTGGTTTTGGACTATCTGTAATAACAATGAAAAGCAAAGGATTATGATGTTTTTAAGAGTAACAGATTTATTGCTGTGTGAACTTTCATGGATTACACATTTGAGCAGCCATACCATCAAAGTTGAAGGGACCATATCTCTGAGGTGTAGCAATATTTTCCAACACTTGGCTCTCAATTTAAAGGATTTTGGGGAACGAGTGAAAGCAAGAGGAGAAGGGGACTGCAGAGGACAAGATGGTTGGACAGTGTCATCGAAGCTACAAACATGAATTTGACCAAACTCCGGGAGGCAGTGGAAGACAGAAGGCCCTGGCATGCTCTGGTCCATGGGGTCACGAAGAGTCGGACACGACTAAACGACTAAACAACAACCAAAGGGAACACGGAAAGACCTCTGCCTGAGAACAATTGTCTCAGATAGGCTCGATGGACAAATAATCTAATGGTAGTCCAAGGCAGCTGCCTTGTAGTTTAGAATGTGTTGATTTCTAAAATCAGTATTCTTTATATAACTAAACTCAGTGCATTTTTGAAAGAAATAAACCTAAATATCTTAACATTTTTATATGATTGACCCTTTTTTGCTTTCCCTCTTACCCTTCCAGGTTACTTTCCTCTGTAGCAACATCATTCATTTTGAAAGCTTGCGTACCAGAACAGCAGAAGCCTTAAACCTGGATGCTGCCTTGTTTGAACTTGTCAAACGATGCCAACAAATGTGTTCTTTTGCATCACAGTTCAACAGTTCAGTTTCTGAACTGGAGCTTCGTTTAATTCACAGAGTGGTAAGTTTTTTAGGGAGGGGCAAGAGAGGCAAAATAAAAGACAGTTCATTTTAGAAGAATTAAACTATGTGTTTGTACTTACTCTCATTTCCCCTTCTGGGCTCTGCTTCTTCTGCTTATTATTTTAGGCAAGTCATAGGTTTTGCAAATCATAATTTTCTGCAAAGTTGGAACTGTAAAGTTGTATGATGTCATAAATTATAGTTTGCCTAATTTTGAATGTTAGAGGAAACAATGATTTGCCTTAAATCCAGAAATCAGAGAGGAAATTGAAGCTCCTCAATAGAGGCACATACGTTATTTTTTTAAAGTTGAGTTGTTGTGCTATATCCATTTACATATCATACCAAACCATATTTTTAAACCGTAACTAAATCATGTAAAGGTGAGCTCTGGATTATTCCTGATCACTTTCCTTCATTTTCCATTTGCTTTTAACTACACCTACGAAACCCTGGAAACCGCTACGATAGTCAAAATTAACTTGACGGAGGATTATACTTTTCAGGATATCTGAATCATTTTAAGTACTGTGAAGTTTGTGTCTGGTTAAACATCTTTCCACTTTATCCTGAGTTAATTGAAGTTTTAGAACAATATTCAGACACAGCAATGTATAAACGCAACTATGATCAGGCAGGATGGATATTATTGGGATGCAGTGAAATCCCATTTTGACAAAAACAGGCATGGAAGGCCATGTCAGCTGAAGGTAGTTAAAAAGTGGTATAAGCCAGATGTTATTTGGGTAGTTTGTTCATGAAACTGGAGCAAATAACACATATGGGTCAATGGATCTAATCTTTCAGTGCAGGGCTGGTGAGATCCCCAACAGCTAATAAAGGTAGATATATGTATCACTCTCCATACCATAGGGTCATGCTGAGTAGTCCAGCTCCCCCTTGCAGATAGATGTGCCCATCAGTATGCCATGACCAGTCACAGTGCAGATAGTGGAACTCGTAGAATAATGGAGTCGGATTTGAATCCAAAGCTCTGCTCAAGATAGGAATCTAAATCAAAGTATATCTGACAGCTGGCTGGCTAACTTTCTCTTGAATGCATCCAGTGTTGGAGTACTTACTACCTCCTGAGGTAATTCGTCCCATTATTGTACTAGTCTAATGGGTGGTGTTTTCTAATAATCAGTCTTGTTTTGAGCCCATTGTTGAGTGTCCTGTACTCTGGCATGATTGAGAACAGGTCCTGTCCCTCTTCTATTATAACAACCTTTCAGGGATTTGAAAAGTGCTGTCAGATTCCCCACCACCACCAAGTCTTCTTTTCTCAAGGCTAAACATGCCTGGATCTTTCAGTCTTTCCTCATAGAGCTTGATCAGCCCCCTGTTGATCATCCTTGTTGCCCCTCTCTGAACTTGTTTCAGTTTGTTGGCCTCCTTCTTCAAGTGTGGTGTCTAGAACTGGACACAGTAATCAAGATGAGGCCATCAGTGCCAAACAGAAGAGAACTAGTACCTCGTGGGATTTGGGGACTATTCTTCTGTTAATGTAGCCTAAAATAGTGTTTTCCTTTTTGTGGCCACATCAAACTTGACTATGCATACTGAGCCTTTTGCCTGAGTGGGGAAACCGAGCCTGGTCTTGCTTGCAAATTATTATTTTTTGGCTAACAGTTGAAAACTTCCTTTGTTTTAGGGCACCAATCTTGATAATCCCATTGGTAGTTCAGAATGGCTTTCTTTGGCTCACAAACAACTGACCCAGGACACATCTACCCAGAGGACTGCCCAGACAGAGAAGGAGCAGCAGATAGAAACTGTGTGTGAAACCATTCAGAATCTGGTTGATAGTATTAAAACTGTGCTCACTGGACATAATAGACAGCTTGGGGATGTGAAACACTTGCTGAAAGCTATGGCAAAGGTAATATTCAGAGTGTTTATATGTATAGAATTGCAAGGTGAAACCTTACATTTGTAGTAGACTATCAGAACTTGTAAGGAGGCACAGCATTCTTCTTATCTTCTCCCAGGCTTTGTAACTCCATGGAGCATTTTGTGTGTTGCATTTAAGAATGGCTGTTAGATCATATTACTGGATATCCATTTAACTTCCATGAACTGCAGGCAACTCTATAAGCACAGATACTTATGCAGCCACTGTTGAATCCCTTCAATTGCTGTGCTAAGTAGAAAATATGCCTGCAGCTGGAGAAGTCGGTTCTTTTTAATAAAACAAGACACCAGAGCTAATTCTCTGACAGTAGATGAAAACGTACTAAGCAGTTAACTTGCTCCAGGAAAAACACTGCAAATATAATATAATAAAGTATATATTATAACATCACTTCTTGATAGATCTAACATTCTTGTATAATTCGTTTGCACACACACACACACACACACACTCTGTGTGTGTGTGTGTGTGTGAGAGAGAGAGAGAGAGAACAAGAATGTTAGATCTGTCTAGAAATTATGTTATAATAAGCTTTAATATTTCCTGGAACAGGATTTAGAAATGCTGGTCTTCCAGATGTTTCTTTGCCAACAACTCTCATAGTCCTTTATTTACCATTGGCTATACTAGATAAGGCATCTAGGAGATGTGGGCCCAAACATCTGGAAGGCCGCAGTCACCCCTGCTGCTCTACAGTTAGGAAGAGGCAGCACACAAGTGGCTGGGGGGAAGGAATGTTTATGTCTCTCCAGTAGTACAGTATGTGAAGAGAGAAATAAACAAATTGTTGCATAGCATTGCAGGAGCTGAGCAATAGATAATGCATTTTTCAAGGGGTACTTGGTCACATATGCGCTGAACTTCAAAAGACAGGACTTGCCTTTTTGCTGACAGCTGGCTTATCCACCTAGGAAGGAATGTTTTTGCCATTTGACAGCCACTTCTAAGAGAAAAATAATAATATTCCTTTGTTACAGGACGAAGAAGCAGCTAAATTATAATGAATGTTACTTTATTGTAGGATGAAGAAGCAGCTCTGGCAGATGGTGAAGATGTCCCCTATGAGAATAGTGTTAGACAGTTCTTGGGTGAATATAAATTATGGCAAGACAATATCCAAACAGTTCTGTTTACGCTAGTTCAGGCTATGGGTCATGTCCGCAGTCAGGAACATATTGAAATGCTTCAGGAAATTACTCCTATCCTGAAAGAACTAAGAACCCAGAGTCAGAGGTAAGCCGTCATTCTTCTCATTTCACATGATAGACTAAAAATGAATATGAACTTATTATTAATGATGATTCTCTAGATGTTTAGAAACTGACATCATTAATAGAAATTAGATTTGGTGTTTTTTATGAAACCACAGCAGACAACAAAACTCCCTTGGTGACTTTGTGGTGCAGAGAATTTTGTGACACATCTGAGTACAGGGATATTGTAAAATAGCTTAATTGCTTTCTGACATCTTCAAAATAATTTTTTGAAACAATCTAAGATTTTAATACAGATTTTTCTCTTGGGAGTTCTTAGTCATAATCTGTTTGTAAATGGTTGTTTAGCAGTTTGCTTATTTCTCGTAGTGTCTACAATAATCTAGTGAGTTTTGCATCACCGTTAATCACGGATACACCAAATGAATGCTCAAGTCCAACATCATCTGCTACATGTCAACCAACATTTGCTGCAGGTACAGCATGGTCTACGTTGAATCTCTGCTTCAGTCTTTTCCCATCCTGTTGTCCTCCAGATGCTTTGGGCCACTGCAGCACCCTTAGCTCACATGAGCATTGGTGAGGGATCATGGGGGTTGGACTCTTAACTACTGGGAGGTCACCACGCTTGGGAGATCTAGTTTGATATGTTTTTGTTATTTGGCTTGCTCATTCATTCATTCATTCATTCATTCATTCATTCATTCATTCATTATGCCACCCACACTACCGAAAGGTCTCTGGGTGGCTTTCAACAATTAAAATACAGTAAAAAAGATGAAACAATTAAAATACAATTAAAATATATACTCTAAAAATTGCCATCAGGACCCACAGTTGATATTATTTCAATTAAAAGCCTTCTGGAACAGGAAGATTTTGACCTGGCACCGAAATTTCATCAGCGTTGGCGCCAGATTAATCTCAATTGGGATGGTGTTCCATAGTCTGGGGACAGCTGCTGAGAAAGCCCTTTGTCTACAAGCCATACCTCTTACCTCCTTGAGGGATGGCTCTTTCAAAAAGGTCCCCTGTATAGATTTTAACTGCCGGGTAGGTTCATATGGAAGGAGGTGGTCCTTCAGGTATCCAGGGCCCAAGCCGTTTAGGGCTTTATATGTCAAAACAAGCACTTTGAATAGGCCCCAGGCAGCAACTGGTAGCCAATGTAATTTAAACAGAATTGGCCTGATGTGTCCCCTAGCAGCCCTACCACTCACCAGCCACACAGCTCGATTCTGGGCCAGTTGCAGTCGCCGGACCATCTTCAAAGGCAGCCCCACGTAGAGCGCATTGCAAGATGGTACCAGTGCATGTGTAACTGTCATGAGACTCCGCTCATCCAGGTAGGGCCCCAGGTATAATTTCTACAGCTGAAGGAAGGTGCCCCTGGCCACCGAGTCCACCTGGGCTTCCAGAGTTAGACTGAGGTCCAGGAGCACCCCCAGGCTGCGGACCCTGTCCCTTAGGGGGAGTGTAACCCCATACAGGGCAGGGAAATGACCCTCCAGCCTGTCCGACATAGCATCCACTAACAGCACTTCCATCTTGTCTGGATTGAGTTTCACTTTATTAACCCTCATGCAGTCCACCATCAGGTTCAGACATGAGTTCATCACAGAAACTGCCTCACCTGGATTGGTGGGAAATGAGAGATAGAGTTGAGTGTCATCAGCATATTGCTGAGTCCTCAGCCCAAACCTCCTGATGACCTCTCCCAGCGGTTCCATGTAGATATTAAACAGCATGGGGGACAGTATCGAGCCCTTAGGAACTCCATGACATAAATGCCATGGGACAGAGCAACTGTCCCCTAGCACCACCCTCTGGACACGGTCAGCCAGGAAGCAGCAGAACCACCGTAAAGCGGTGCCCCCAACTCCCAACCCAGTCAGTCTATCCAGAAGGAGACCATGGTCAATGGCATTGATTGGTCATCATACAGGGTGACTAAGGCAGTCTCTGTACCAGAACCTGGCCTGAAATTCGATTGAAATGGATCCAGAAAATCCATTTCATCTAGCAGCTCCTGGAGTTGCCTGGCCACAACCCGCTCAACACCTTGCCCAAATAAGGGAGGTTTGCCACTGGGCGGTAGTTAATCACTAGCATTGGGTCCAGGTAAGGCTTTTTTAGGAGTGGCTGAATTACCTCCTCTTTCAAGGTGGTAGGAACCACTCCCTCTTTCAAAGAGGCGTTCATGGCCTCCTGGACCCAGGTGTGAACCTCCCTGGCAGATCTTCCAGTTAGCCAAGATGGGCAAGGGTCAAGCGGAGTGGTGGTAGAATGGACAGATCCAAGCACCCTGTCCACATCCTCAGGTATCAACAATTGAAATTCATCCATTAATACTTGACCTAAGCACGGCACACTGGACACATCCTCTGATTCTGCAGTAATGGTGGAGTCCAACCCACTGCTAATCTGAGTGATTTTTCCCTAAAAATGAATGCCAAACTCATCATAGAGAGCTGATGAGCAATCTGGGATCTCCACCGGATTTCCCGGATGAAGAAGATCCCAGACCACCCGAAACAGCTCTGCCGGACGACATTCTGAGGAAGCAATACAGCTGGAGAAATATTGCCATTTTGCCAGCCGTATTGCCATGAAATAGGCCAGATAATGGGCTCTAAATCATGTTCGATCGGACTCCCAGTGGGATTTCCTCCACCTGCGCTCCAGCCATCTCCCCTCTCATTTCATCGCCTGCAGTTCAGATGTATACCAAGGAGCTGTCTGGGCTCTGTGTGCAGGGAGAGGGCGCTTAGGTGCAATCGTGTCAACTGCCCAGGTCATATCCCTATTCCATAGGGTGACCTGAGCTTCAACAGGAGCACTGACCATATCAGACGGATAATCTCTCAGAGCGTTCGGGAAACCATCCGGATCCATTAGTCTCCGAGGGTGGATCATCTTAATAGATCCCACACCCTTACAGAGGGAAGAAGAAGCTAATAGATTAAATTTGACCAGGAAGTGGTCTGACCATGACAGTGGGGTCACAACCAGCCCCTCCACATCCAAACCACCATCTTCCAGTCCTGTTGAGAAAACCAAGTCCAAGGTATGGCCCTTCTCATGCGTTGGGCCGATGACCCATTGAGACAGCACCATGGTTGGCCTGGTGGCCATGAAGTCCTGAGCTGCCCCAGTCAAGGCAGCCTCGGCATGGATGTTGAGGTCTCCCAGCACCAACAGCCTGGGAGTTCTCAACACCAGGTCCAAGACTACCTCCGTCAGCTCAGGCAGGGAGACTGTTGGTACGCAGCAGGGTGGGCGGTATACCAACAGAATCCCCAATCTGTCTCACAAGCCCAACACACAATACAGGCCCTCAAGACCTCCCCTCAAAGGGATAGGAAGCCTGGTCAAGGAGATACAACTCCTATAGACTATAGTAACTCCCCTTCCCCGACCCTCTGAGCGACATTGCTGCTAGACTGAGTACCCAGGCGGACACAGCTGGGAGAGGGGAACACCCCCCTCCTCTCCCACCCAATGCACGCCAGGTCAGCACCCTCATCCAGAATTACATCATGGATGAGAGCAGTCTTATTTTGTACTGACCTGGTGTTCATCAACAGCACCGTGTGGCTCGAGGGTTTGCTGGTATGGTCACCTGATACCATCTGGTTGGGGGTAGACTAGGGGATAGATGTAAAATATCTAACCTCTCTTCTCCTATGTGGGCATGTTCTATCCCCACCATGTGTAGATACAGTTCTCATTTGCCTTCTAACAGCAACCCATGCGCTGAAATGGGCACGAACTGCCAGTGAGTGCCTGCCAGAGGAGGTCAAACACCTGTTTGGACAAAAATGGATCTGCATGAACTGCTGAACAGGTGGTTGATACCCATCTCTAGTCACATCACTTTTACATAATAACTAAAATCTCTGCTTTAGCACACATTTCCCATTGGTAGAAATTTCACTCTGCCTGCGTTTTATCCTTGGAGAACTATCTTAGGAATCAGTTAACCTGTCTACTACTGAAGGGCCTTCCTAGTACCTACCCTTGAACAGAAGTCATTTATGCAATAATGATTGTGCATAAAGCTGTTGAGTGTTGCAGTTGCTTCAACTGTAACAAAAAAGGCATTTTGTGGTAGAGTACAGAAGAATACAGAAGAGTACAGAAATAGGAATGTGGTGGCGCTGCGGGTTAAACCGCATAAGCCTCTGTGCTGCAAGGTCAGAAGACCAGCAGTCATAAGATCAAATCCACACAAGATCGATGCCCTAGCTCCTGCCAACCTAGCAGTTTGAAAGCATGTACAAATGTGAGTTGATGAATAGGTACCACCTTGGTGGAAAGGTCACGGCGTTCCATGTCTAGTCGCGCTGGCCACGTGACCATAGAAACTGTCTATGGACAAACGCTGGCTCTAGGGCTTGGATACAGGAATGAGCACCACCCCCTAGAGTTGGACACGAGTGGACTAAATGTCAAGGGGGAACCTTTACCTTACAGAAATTTGCCGTAAAATAAAAGTAAAACACAACTTCTCTCTATTCTGTTTTTATCCTAGACAAAGTCAGACTGAGGCAGGATGATGACTCATGGAGTGTTAAGTGCTTTAATGGCTTGTGATTGGGGAGGGGGGGAGTTTTCTTTGTTCTTACCAAGCAGAAGGCCTGAAATCAGTACTTTTCACCAGTGCCTTGTTTTGATTGTAAAATAAAACATTCTATTTACATGGCTTATATCCTTCTCCTTTGCTATGTAAAAATAAAACTTATCTCATGTCTTTTTTATGACACTGTCAATGTTTTCTTAAATTCTGTACTGATAGCAGTCCGTAGCAATACAGGGCAGAAGACTCAGCCAGAGGTCATGTCACAGAATACCAGAAAGCTAATTCAGAAAAACCTTGCACCATCGGCAGATACTCCTCCAGGCACAATTACAGGAGCTGGAAAGAGTGTTGTCTCTAGCCCTAAAAAGGCCATTAGAGACCCTAAAACAGGAAAAGGTATGAGGCAAAATAAAATTAGAACATCCTGTTTTTTAACAAGCAGAATATATCTACTTGATTTGCATCAAAAAATAAACGAATGTGTTGTTTTCCCCCCTTTTCAGCTGTGCAAGAGCGGAATTCATATGCAGTAAGTGTGTGGAAACGTGTCAAAGCCAAGTTAGAGGGCCGGGACTTGGATCCCAATAGGAGAATGTCTGTTGCTGAACAGGTAACCTTCATGAGCAAAAAAACATACTTTTTTTTTAACATTTCCTATACTTTGCCCAAAGAAAACTGTGCTTCCAGTTAATTGTATTATTTCAGTTGGCTGTAATGTATTTTTTTTAAAAAGTGCTCTCATTTGGTGTTTGGTGTTCAATGGACTATTTAATTTCACACTTTCTGCAAAGCCTGTTCTTCACATGCCTCAAACGGTGGCCCACTGCTGCTTTGTTACTTTGATTTGTTTGTTCTATCTCCATTTACAAATATCCATGTGCAGGTTCTGGTAGTAGCTGCGTTATCATTAAATTAAATAATTTTGTAAATTAACACTTACATTGAGTATTATTGATTGTGGGTCTGCTCTAATTGTTACCTAGCAACTGGAATTAGGCCTCAATTGCTACACCATCTTTCTGCTTGAAATATTCTGGATAATTTTTTTAATTTTAAGGAAGGCCATTGGCCTGGTTTATCCATAATAAAATTATAGCTTACCATATGATTAGGCTACAGTTGTCTTCAAACCCCTGATTCAGAAGAGAGCAGACCAACCCTGGGCCTAGTTTAGTATCCTGGCTTGTTATCAAACTGTGATGAATGCTCAGTACTTAACAGTTTGAGACAGCACAACACATTGTGGTTTATTGAAGAGTCATGAATAGTGAACTTTAAAGTCTTCATTTGTAAGTAGGTATGAAACTCATGCTGGTTCTTTTCATCAAAGAACAAAGGATGGCTTGTGAAATCTGAACCTTGTCACTGTAATGTTGTTCATGGCCATTCTCTAAACATTGGTGATAAATGTTTGCAAAATGTATTTTTATTTTTACTAAAACTGTTTGTAGTGTAGTCCTTTACTAATGTTTGCTGATTGGGTTTCTAATGAAGGTAGTCTTAAAATGATTTATGTGAATGCAGTCTGAAATGCTAACTTCTTTATGAATTGCACTTTCATAGGTTGACTATGTGATTAAGGAAGCAACTAATCTAGATAACTTGGCTCAGCTGTATGAAGGTTGGACAGCCTGGGTATGAACAGGAAGATGGCAGGTCAATCGGGTTCAGCGAGGTCAGACATCCAGCAGAATCAACTCGGCCTCAGGCATCCATAGCAGCACCACAGTCGGTGGTGATGCCTTTCTGGGGCTTAATGTGAGGAAACCTAGGCAATCTCGGTGCACTGGGAAAGTAAGTCCTGCAGAGTAGCTGCACTCAGGGATACGCTAAACACAATGGTCAGGAACCCCCTAGGGTGTCAAAGGTGACAGCTCACCGCCTGAACAACACGGCTGTCTTTCTGCCACAGAGAACTGCTAATGTATCGGGGGGCAAAAATAGCTGCAGGAAGGAAATTGGGAATGCTACAGAGACCGCAGAGTGATTTGGAACCCAGTTCCACCTGACCCTGTGAACAATCCAGGAAATACCGAACCCAAAAAGGGGGCCGTGAAGAAATCGCAGCAGAGGAAGATTTGAGAGATTGAGTTTCTTGAGTCGCTCTTGTTGCTTGGCAACAGTGCTGGTTGAGCTGACCAGTTAGTGCAAAGTAAAAAATAAATAAAAGATGCCACACAAGATGAACTTCAGAAATGGACTGAAATGCAAAGAGCTGTACATCAGCCATGTTGGAAGAACCCTCTGAAAAGAGAGATTTTTTTTTTAGTTCTTTCCTGCTTCTGGTTTATTCTTGTAGTTTAACTATATTTCTAGTATGTTTTAATTTTCAGTCCTTGTGTTTCACTGTTCAGAGTAAAGTTAACTTTCTTCTGTTTGCAAAATCAAATTTCCAAAAGCACAGGGAATGCTGAACATTGAGCAATTACCTTTGAGTTGAGTGATCAAATGCAAATTGTTTTTTCTGTTTGTTTTAAAGTGATTTGCGTGCTTGTGATTCTATCATGTACAGTTTTCCCAAATTCACTGTGCAGTTCAAAGTACTGAACCTGAACAGGCATTTGATCTCATCTACATCTCCCACTACTTGCAATGTGTGCTCCTTTTTGTAATTCCAGCCTCTTCCTCCAAAGTTCATTCTGTTGCAATTTGCTGTAGTTTCTTTTCTAATTGTAGCTTCTCCAGTGTAACCTTTACCTTTTACCAAAAAACTCCACAATTAAAATATCTAAGTAGACTTTTACATTGTTGACAACAGAAAAAAATCAATAAAGTGAAGTTCTAGGAGGTGATTTTATGCTGTTTGATTCACTTCAAATCTTGATTTATACTTACAAATGTATAATGTATCAGTTCAGTCTGGGGACTTAAGAAGAAAAAAAAACATAAAGCTGAAATTGAATTTATTAGTTTTTTTTTGTTCAAGTGAAATTTGTATAAAGACTTATGTGAAGTTAGTTTCCCCATATTACTTCTCATAAATGGTGTTCAGTAATGCATTCATAAGTGAATTTCTCAATACATTTCCCTAAATCTACCTTGCACTTTGGATTAGTGGATGTGAGAGAAGTTGCTATTAAAATGGCACTTTAAACCAATCTGTTTCCATATGTCTTCAGTGTATTAGTTGCCTGTTAATTAAAATGTTCATTATGAGCCCGTTTTGGCTTTGCCCATGGAAGGGACAGGCTACTTCCTGACACATGCAGAATTCAACTTTCACTTGTTGATGCTATGTTAAGATAGACCCTTCTTGAATCTTAATATTTTTGGACTGAATTTATGGGGTGCAGGATGCCACCATGCACACACAAGGACATGTAATGTATTACCTGTCAAGTTATTCCCAGCAAAAGAGAAGAAATGGTTATTCAGAATATTTAAATGACTCCTAAAAGGAGCAACTGGATGGTATTATCAGTTTCTGCATTATGTTGTGGCTATCTTTAGTTTTGATTACTTCACTTACCTGCCTGTGTGCACTGTCTACATATTTAGTCATGCTTGTAAGTAAAGGCATTAATTATCCATTCTTGAACCTTTTGGCATGTATTTCAAGAGGGAGGACAGGAAACTTGATGTTCAGTGAAATTCAGCTAAAGCAAAATCCATGCAGTCAATAGGTATACTTCCCTTGCCCTTCCCATATGACACATTGAGCATAATCTGCATCAAGATACATTTAGAACAAGATGGTTACATGTTTTGTTTTGTGGTTGTTGGCAATGGGTTACATCAGTGATTCATGTATTATACTTTTATTCAGAAATGGAATGTCTATGGAGAATGGGTTATTTGCTGCCTAATGTATTAAAGCTCAAAAATCTATTTGTATTCTTAATTCTTTGTATAGCACTGACTTATTTAATAGCAACAAGGCTGAGAATGCTGTGTGTTTATCGTGAGAATGTGGGATCTACAGTCTGTACCAAGGATGTGGAACTTTTGTTTATATATTTTTAAAAAATCTTTTTACTGAGAAGCTTACACAGGAAATAACTGTTGATGACTGAAACCAATTTGCCCATCCTATGTTTTGTGGCTGAGATCCAAGAGTGTATTTGGCTATGTAGTGCTAGCACAACTGAGCTGTGTGCCCCCCCCCCGGCATCCTTTCTGTGGTGCCAAATACCTGCTGCAGAACAGGGTTTCTTGGCTACAGGAGGAAGGGGGATTGCTGATTCTGTAGAAAATGGAGGAGACGAGCAGAAGCATCTGGATCCTGGCCTGGGGACATACTTCCATGTGTTTTGGATCTGTGTCACTGTCATTCAGCTTCTTCTGCAATATCATTTTGAAGCACGGTTTAGGATTCCTTTGTGAGAAAGATTTTGCATTCAGTTTTATGCAAAAACTACATTTGGCAAAGATTGCCACCTACAGTATTTGAAGATTCTCCTTTAAGTCTACATCAAAACAAATGGGCTTTGCTATTAAATGCAATTTGTGCCTATTTCTTTATGATTGCAATTCTTCATAAAAGTTCCCTTGGATATATAAACTTTATGATTACCTAATCTCATTAAAGCCAGTAGGATTGGACATGAGGTGTCTGTGGAGCATTTTTCCTTCTCTTTCTTGTTCGGTTCTACTTCCATTCCATGTTTAGTCCAAATCTTTGTTTCCCTTGATATCAAGATATAGGTTATGCTTGCCTTCTCCACCAGAGTTAGAAAGTAGCTTCAAACCAATGCTTTGGATGTGAAGGGCAAGCCATAGTTGTCTGACCTTCACTTACATGGAAATAAAGCACAGAAAGAAGCTTCGGAATCGTTAATGTGCTTAAACTAGACAGGAATTATAATGGGTGATGGAACTCTCTTTTAAAAAAATGCATTGCAAGAATACATTTTAAGTGGACGGCAGGGGGAAGTAAGACTTAACAACTGCAGCATCCTTACCATCCAAGTTAGAGGTATGATTGTCCATATTGCTTCATAGGCACACTAAAGTAAAGAATATTAGGTATTTGCTCTCATGGCTGTCTAATGTGTGATGTCAAAGGGAACAGACATTTACAATTGCAAAATAGTGTCTATGTTAGGGAAGGAAAAAGAAACATAGGAAAAAGAAGCAACACTAAGGGTCCTTCTCTAGGGTCTTGCAAGATTTGCAGAACAAAGGTTACACTGTATCAATTGGGAAGTAAGTACTTTAGGAAAAGACACTTAAAACTGGTCGAATGTATATCCTTCCTTTTCTCCAACTAGATTAAGGTGACATATGTGCCAAGTAACTTTCGGACTATGGGGGGACATCTTCGTGACTGGCAGTATGTCAGGATGGAAAGACAAGGAGGGGTAATACCTTTATTAGGCCACTAACATCTCTCACACAGGCTAGTTTACACTCCATGCATGTTTTTGCTGATATGTCCAGGGTGAGCAGACAGACAATAAAAGTTTTTTTTGCAGGTAACAGTAACCCATTGCCAAATATTCCAAGGCCAAAGCCTGACATTTCCAGAGAGAATTCCAGTCAAAGCCTGGCTGTTCTATTTTCTTCTGTGTAGTTACATAAGAAGGGCCCTGCTGGATCAAGGCCAAGGGCCCATCTAGTCCAGCTTCCTGTATCTCACAGGGGCCCCACCAGATGCCTTTGCGGGCACACAAGACGACAAGATCCTGTCTCCAGATGTCCTGCATCTGACATTTTGAGGTACCTTCTATGTTGGGATATTATATACATCCCCATCATGGCTTGTAGCCTGCAGTGGACTTTTCCCCCAGGAATCTGTCCAATTCCCTTCTAAAGGCTTCTAGGCCAGATGCCATCATCACATCCTGTGGCAAGGAGTTCCACAGTTAGGTAAAATTCTTATCATCTGTATGTTATATGTGACTGCAAAGAGAACAAACCAATCCATTTTGAAGGAAATCAGCCCTTAGTGCTCACTGGAAGGACAGATCCTGAAGCTGAGGCTCCAGTACTTTGGCCATCTCATGGAAAGGGAAGACTCCCTGGAAAAGACCCTGAAGCTGGGAAAGTGTGAAGGCAAGAGGAGAAAGGGACGCCAGAGGATGAGATGGTTGGACAGTGTCATCGAAGCGACCAACATGAATTTACCAAACTCCAGGAGGCAGTGGAAGACAGGACGGCCTGGCGTGCTGTGGTCCATGGGGTCACGAAGAGTTGGACACGACTTAATGATTAATCAATGTTATACATATATGTATGTCTATGGTATAATCCAGCGGGCTAAAGGAATTCTGTAGAACTGCAAGAATTTACTTAAGTTATATTGGATAAAAATCATTTCTAGCACCTGTAAATTAAATTATTTCCAAGTCATTTTTTTTCAGTTGGGTTGTTTCAATGTAAATCTTGCTTTTGTGGGTGAACAAAGAATATTTAAAATACCCTAATTGTGTTTGTTGCTACTTGTATCTCTTCTCCCTTCTTCATGCCTGTCATTCTGATCTTCCATTCTTATACTGTACAGTACTTTGCTCTTCCCTGGTTTCCTCCCCCTCACATTTAGTGTGGTTAACTCGCTTTATCTAAGAGTTATCGGTAGTAATAGGTGCAGGTATCATTTTGTTAAGTCTTCGAATTTCCTAATGTATTCATACTCAGCATAAAAAGATGCCATCTGATGAACTGGCTCACAATTCTTGAATGCCTGTGCCAAACTCTTTTACGACTTCCAGGTTCCATGGTTTTCTAGTGTTTTGTTTTTGCAATAGTGGGTGGATAGCAATATACACATGAATCAGTTTTATGAAGAAAAAAGGCATTTTTGGAAACACTATTAAAGAGGTGTTATTTAAAGAAAAAAAAGATGGCTATTGCTGTTTTTCCCTTTTAGTACCTCTGACGTTTCACACAATCTCCCAACACTACGAAACAATTAAATAGCGTTCCCTCAGGAAAGCCAGACGACGACGCCCCGCCCCCCCTCGCATCTTCCTCAGTCCGCGCCCAGAACGAGCTCAAAGTAAGCAACGGAACAAAGCAAGCTCCTATTGGTCTAAATTCAAACGAACCGTCCCGAGAGACGTTTATTGGCACTTAGGAGTCACGTGGAGTTTCGGCGAGCGTGGTATTGGCGAGCAGTTGATCACGCCCACTGGAGGGAGGCGGGAGGAGCTGAAGCGAGTTTATAAAAGCCGACGGGGAAGTGAAGGAAATGGCTCGAGGCGTGAGGCAGGGTGGCGACGGCTGAGTTGGTTTTTGTTTGTGGGTGGAAAGAAGGCGAGCCGAAGCCAAGAAAAAAGGAGGAGGAGGAGGCGTTAAGCCGTGACGGTACTTTGGGAGGCGGAAGAGAGAGGAAAGCGCCGCCGCCACTGCTGTTGCAGGCGCCGCCGCCGCTGTCTAGGCCGTACAAAATGGCGGAGGGCGACAATAGGAGCAGCAACCTTCTGGTGGGTTGAGAGCTGAGGCGAAGCGAAGCGGGTTCGAGTGGCGCGGTTTGCTCTCCTCCTCCTCGCGAGGGGTTCTGCCAGACGACGGGGGGCCTTCTCTGAGCGACAGGCCGGCAGGAGGTGGCGTGTCAGGGATGATTGGGGGGGTCCGTCCTCTGCGGATTTTCGAGAAAGCCCGCCAGAAAGGAGCGTTCCTGGCCGCATTCCCTTGACCTGTGGGGCCGCCCTGTGGGGTGAGGTTTGGGGTCCGGGAGGGGCAGGGCTTGTGGGCTCGTCGCCTGCTGGCCGCAGAGGCGAGTTGGAGGAAGGCGGCGGCGGAGGCCCGGCGGGCGGCCGCGCCCGGTCCTTCAAGGGAGGAGGCCGGGCAGGAGGCTTCCTCAGGCGTCCATCGGGCTTCGAGGAGGCGAGGGGACGGGCACTTTTGGGGACTCCAGGCCACACAATTCTGAGAGGGAACACGGAGGTTTCGCCGTGCGCATGCCTGCACCCGCGTTGATAACCGTGCCGCAAAGATGGAGCCATGTTGACTTCAGGTCGCCCAAAGCAGGCGCTATCTTAAAAGCTCTGCCCGTTCTCCAAGCCTTGGGCCACAACAACTCGTGTGTGTAGGGATGTTCATGGTTTCATTTTTATATATTAGCCTCCATCATCTATTCATGTGTGTATGTGCATGTTCATAAATATGCTGCATATGTTCATATATATGTTGCAGAGACAGAGAGGGAGGAGGTTCGCTGTCCCTTCTTGACGGGCTGGGGTGGCTGAACTTCGTGGTCCACCGGGGGGGCCTGTGATACATGCATGCATACATACAGAGAGAAAGAGAGGCTACATTTCATGTAAGGGGCTCTAGTGAACAAAAGCTACTGATGGCATAAATCTGCCATGGATTTCAAGTTCAGCAAGACTCTGCTGGTGAAGTGAAATCAACGCTGCTATCTCTGGAACTTAAATATTTAACACAGGGTATTTTTGCCTCCCATTTGGGGTATGTTGACCCATTAAGGCATGCTTTGTCAGCCAACCATTGGGCAGGTAAGAGTGTAGTACTCATTACAGCCTTTGAAAAGCAAAGACGAGGGAAGCCATTATATTGTGTTGACATATCACGTGATGGGGGGCAATTGTATTCTGGCCAGAGGTATTTCTGCTAAATAAGTATGCAGCATGTGGGGTAGGTCTTTCCATGCATATTGTTGGTTTCTCAACAGATCTTCCCACTAATGATAGAGTGTAAGGTCTACCAAGGGTCAGTGGGTGTGCTCATTTTCTCACCAAGTGGTGCATCCAGAAGTTTCTGCTTTGCAGCTTCGAAGATTTTGTTTAAAAACTGCTTGGGTTTCTTTTTTTTTTCTTTTGGTCCCTCCTGCATTACTCTGCGTTGTCATCTTCTTGGCATTAAAAACATCAGACTGGCATGCTTGCTAGTCATGCTGATATGAGCAGGAACAAACAGGACATTTTGTCTAGCTTGTCAACAGAACTGCAGTGTCTCAAGGGTAGGCAGATGAGAGGTCAAATTTGCAGCATTGCACAAGAGGATGCTGAACAAGACTTTGCTAATTATACTGTACTTTTGCAGTTTTCTGAAAATACGACTTTTTGAAATACAGAGTACCTCTAGTGTCCATTATTCTCACTCAGTATTTAACTGTTGCTTTCTAATATCAAGACATTGTTATTCTTTCTCATATCTTTCTGTTAAACAATCAATAAAATTATTTCAAGTTCCGAGCCAGACTATGAAATTTGTCTATTTGAGACAAAGAAAGATGTGTAATACCCAAGTGAAGATGGATAATACCCAAGACTATATTATTTCCACGTGAGCCAGAAAATGCTACAAATGCTTCCCTGGTAGTAAATGTGTAACAATAATAAAATTAAAAACTTGCTGCCCTTTCGCAATACCTAGCCTGCCTAATAGTAGGGACAGCCTTTGGGGAGATGGGATTATACTGTTTTCTAAATCCTTGTAAAGCCACTCTTTGACCTGGCAGAGAGGCTTGTCATCCCACCTCCTGCCAGGAGTGGCTCGTTGACTGCAAGCTCCAGAGTGATAAGATGGGATCGCGCAGCCCGCAGCAGCAGCGGATCGGTGAGTGGACCGTCTGGCACCATGGGGCTGGACCGTTGTCATCTCCACCTGTAGGGGGGGGTATTCATATAGAATACCTCCATCTCTATTTTAGAACCGTAGAGTAATGGAGTTGGAAGGGACTTACAAGGCCACTGAGTACAGCCCCTTGCTCAATTCAGGAATCCAAGTATATCTGTCAGATGGCTGTCTAGCTTTCTCTTTAATGCCTCCAATGTTGGAGTGTTCACCCCCTCCTGAGGTAACTGGTTTCATTGTTACACTGTTCTAAGAGTAAGTTTGTCCTAATATGAATCAAAAGCAGGCTTCTAACTTGAGCCATTATTATATGTTCTGCATTCTAGAACAATTAAGAGTAGATTCTGCCCTTCCTCTGAATGGCAGACTTTCAAGTGTTTGAAGAGTGCTTTCCTATCTCTCCTCGGGTCTTTAATCAATTACAGATCCCTCTTACATTTAGTATTATTAAGTCAAGTAGCCATCTCATAATGGTGCATTTGGTTTCTTTTTCCTAGGTGTAGAATTTTGCACTTTTTGCAAAATATCTTTCAAAATGTTTTCAGTCCAGTGTTCAAGCCTGTCAAATATATTTTTGAATTTTGTTTCTTTCAGCATGTTTACTATTCCATTGTTCCTTTGTCAAAGGCTTTGCTGAAGTCAAGATATATTATGTCTACAGCATTCCCACCATCTACCAAGGGAGGTCACGCAATCAAAAAATGAGAGGATTAGTCTGACAGGATTTATGCTTGACAAATCTGTGTTGGCTTCTAGTTATTAATTTCAAGATGCTTGCAATGTGATCACTTTATAATCCACTCTATAGTTTTCCCTGGGATTGATACCAGGCAGACTGGTTTGTAGATATTAGGTTCCTCCTTTTTGCCCCTTCTGAAGATAGGGACAATATTTGTCTGGTCTGCAGACAGATACCTAAACTGTTTATACAAATAAAATATGTAGATACATAGAAAAATACCCCTTTTATCCCTAATCAAATTCACAGCACTTGTAAAAAGGAATATTGAACAAAAATGTTTAAAAATTTATAAGAGCACTTTTTTATCGCTTATAACTGGACTAAAAACAATGAACACTTCTAAGCAAGAACATATTAATTCCTAATGTTTTTCTCCTACAGCTGAAAAGCAGTGTATTCAAAGGAGGAATTAGTTATTTTGCTCACTAGACATTATCTTAAAACTTCATGATCTTTTATTAATTTAATTATAGTAGGGACGTGGTGGTGCTGTGGGCTAAACCGCAGAAGCCTGTGCTGCAGGGTCAGAAGACCAAGCAGTCGTAAGATCGAATCCATGTGACGGAGTGAGCGCCTGTCACTTGTCCCAGCTCCCACCAACCTAGCGGTTCGAAAGCATGCAAATGCGAGTAGATTAATAGGGACCACCTCGGTGGGAAGGTAACAGCGTTCCGTGTCTAAGTCGCACTGGCCATGTGACCACGGAAGATTGTCTTCAGACAAAACGCTGGCTCTATGACTTGGAAACAAGGATGAGCACCGCCCCCTAGAGTCGAACATGACTGGACAAAAATTGTCAAGGGGAACCTTTACCTTTAATAACCTCTACATCAAAAGGCAGTTGTTTCATTTTTCCCATTTTGCACATATCTCTCTAACACAGACCAAAACAATCCTCATGATCTTATGTCAAGAAGATTTTTAAATGTATTGTTTGCCAAGCAAAAATGTGTTGTCAAGATTGTCAAGGGGAACCTTTACCTTTACTTTTTTAAATTTAATTATAGCACAGGGAATTTATTAAAATGTTTTACTGTTTTCATTTTTAGAAACTAAGAAGTTGTTAATGATGGACTTAATACCATATTTAAAATAACAAAAAAAATAGTAAAATAAATGGCTGAAGAACTCTTGAAACTACTATTTTCTTGAAACCATGGAGCATGGGCAAAGTGCCAAACAACTGAAGGAAGACCTTAAGGCAGCATGTAGTAGCTAAACATACATGCTTAAAAGTGCAATGAATTAAGATATTAATATTAAAAATGATTAAATCTAAACACTATTAAATACATGATTGGCTGTAACGTGAAGGTCCTGCTTCAAGTAGAACTTCAGAAGCAGAACAAAGATACAAGCATTGAGAAATCTGGTATTGTTTAAAGCCTCTGGCCCTACATATGTTCTGGACTTCAACTTTCAGAATTCCTGGCTGATAGTCATGCTGGCTTCAACATCTGGGAGTTAAAACTCCAAATCATCTGAAGAGCAAAAGATACAGAAACAATGATCTAAAGCAAAGTTAAGGGATCAGGAACTAGTTTATTTTCTATGCATTTGTTTCCCTTATGTGTAGAACTGTATCCTGCACTGTATGAAGTATTTGTAATTTCTGAACATTTTCTTTTGTGTTAAGCACATATATTTTAATGATTTTTTTACAGGCTGCAGAAACAGCTAGCTTGGAAGAGCAATTGCAGGGATGGGGTGAAGTGATTCTAGTGACTGACAAAATCCTTCGCTGGGAAAAAGCGTGGTTTCCACCTGCTATCATTGCTGTAGTTTCCTTTGTTTTTCTGTAAGTTATTCTAGATGAAATTACCTTCACATTTGTGTCTACTAAATTTTTGTAACAGTTAATAAGTTGCTTTTCAGGAAGCAGTTGGCAGTGTTGCACTATGAGAAGTACAGAAAATGTTTTATATAGCTGGAAACATAGTGCTGCTGTAAAAATTACTGATACATTTATATTTTGGGTACTCTTTGTAGTCATCTGCTTTTAAAAAACGGTGTGTTAACTGAGACAAGTAAGTAGCAACAGAAACATTTGTGGAGAGTTCTGAAACTTGGAGCTGTGATAAGAAATCAATGTGATAACAGTATGACATTTTAGGTTTGTAATAAGAGAAATTGATTACCTATTGTGAATTCTACTGGAGGTAGAAACAATGTTGTGTAGAAACATTCTTTTAAAGGGGTTGGAATGCTATTTAAATAGAGATAGAATAATATTGAAATTAAATTAGTAGTCCTTTTCTTGTTTATCTGTTGGCAGTTCCTGAGGCTAAACTATTTCAGTCCCTTGCTGTACCAAGACATACATGATGTTAATTACACTACTTCGATTAACGTGTCTGGTTTAAAATTTGAAATGACCAGTTGGTGGGCTTATTGATATTGAAAATGGGGCTTTTAATGCCCTTTCTTCCAGATAGAGTAATTCCATGTGCCCTTGTTTGCTCTAGTATTGATGCCAGTGTTTTAATAGCATTTAATTGGGGTTCTGATCATCTTCATACTGGCTATTTAAAATGGAACATTAAACGTTATTTAATATTAATATGTTTGGTGTGCCTCCCAGTTTGGTGTGTAATACATGCCAATAATTTGTTTGCTTATTTGGGATTAGAAGAGAAGCAGGCAAAATTGCTAAAAGTGCCTCAGGAACATTTTATATGCTCTAATAAGCTATATAAAACCATCCTTGGGTGTTCTCAGCAATTACTCTTGCTTCCTTTGTTAGGAAAACGCAAAACTGGAAGTATTAAAAATCTCTGAGGGCTACTAGAAGACTTATAACCAGTAGTCCTGGTGGCTGGAGATAGTGGAAGTAGTACTCCACCATATATGGAAGGAGAAGGCCATTAGGTTCATGCCTACTTTTCTTTGAATGTTATGGTCAGTTGATGTATTCTTCAAGGCTGAGTGCAATTTATTTCTCTTTTCCCTGCTTTCTAAAAGCCATCTCCCTCCTTGTTTTTCTTCTGCATTCACCATGCACTTTGGTTGGTCAGGTTACAATTTCCACTGCAGAAGTCAAATTGGTACATTGCAAATGATCCTAGATACATACATATGACTGTTTTTACCATACACTGATGTTTGGAAAATTCTTCATAGTCTAATACAGGGGTCCTGAACCCCCGGGCCATGGACCAGTCCTGGTCCGTGGCCTTGGAAGGATTGGGCCGCTGGGACAGATGAGTGGCACGCAGAAGGTGAGTGGCGAGTGAAGCTCTGCCCCTTGTCACGTTCCTATTAGGTTCTAATGCTGCTGCTGATCTGACAAGAGGTGGTGCTTTGCTACCCGTTCCCCTCCTGCTGCTGCTAGACCAGCTGTGCCGATTCAAAGCTATCCTCCAGCAACCTACTGTACTGCATAACAAGAAACTCCCCCCCCCAGTCCTTGGGAGAATGGTCTTCAACTAAACCGGTCCCTGGTGTCAAAAAAGTTGGGGACCATTGGTCTAATAGTTTCCTTAAATTTAAATGGTATCTGGATAAAAATACTTCTCCTTTCTCAACAGGATGATTTACTACTTGGATCCATCTGTTCTTTCAGGTGTTTCTTTTTTTGTTATGTTGCTTTGTTTGGCTGACTATCTTGTACCTGCCCTTGCTCCTAGAATCTTTGGCTCCAGTAAATGGTATGTTGTTTGAGGGTTTTATTTATATTAATCTTAGCCTTTTAAATACTACAGTTAGGAAATATGTGCCCCTTTGAATATGAATTGTGTGTATGAGTTCTGAACAAACATAATACAATGGTGCCTCGCATAACAAGCGCACCGTTTAACGACGAATCCGCATAGCGATGCAGATTTTGTGATCGAAAAAGTGATCGCATTGCGATGTTTGAATAGGTAAAACATCGCATTGTGATGATCGGTAAGCGTTTCGCTTACTGATCTTTGCATTGCAATGTTTTCAAACAGCTGATCAGCGGTTCCAAAATGTCCGCTGTGTCAAGAAAATGGCCGCCCGCTGCACTTCCGCGCCGATTCCTCGCTTACCGAGGCGGCGAAAATGGCGGGTGGATTGAGGATTTCCGCTTAGCTGTGAGTTTTGTCCCCATAGGAACACATTAAATGGAGTTTAATGCGTTCCTGTGGGCTCTTCTGCCCTGTATAGCGACGTTTCCGGATAGCGACGATTTATCCGGAACGGATTATCGTCGCTATGCGGGGCACCACTGTACTAATTAGCACTTCACAATGAGTGGTTTAGAAGGATAGACTTGTGGGGGGGGGTTGACTATTGCTCTGCTCTGTCTTTCATATCTTTCTTCGTACAGTTGACATATATATTGTAAAGCACTTGAGGCAGGGACTTGTCCTCTCTTTCTTATTCTACAAAGCATTATGTAGCATAGTGTATTCTGGGTTTTGCTATATGTGAAAATGTTGCCCTCTGGCTGAAAGTTTGGGGGCAGCTCAAGAACATCACTGCTTTAGATAGTGGTATATTAATAAGTTACTTCCACACCATGCCAACACATTAGATTCCAGCTTTAAAAAAACAGGTGTAGTTTATGAAGATTTCATAACATCTGGCATTTTAAAACATATCCACTTGCAAATTTATGCAAATTTTATTCCATTGAACTGTATATGGTTCACTTATTTACTGATGTGCACACAAAGCCAAGCACAACCTGTAAGAAATTATATATGTGTTTGTAGATGTCTAGATGTATGTGTATGTAAAACAAATATTGCATTTTAAGTGATTGAGGAATGTAAGTAAATAAACGTTTAAAGATGTGAAATGCTAAATTATTAGTTTAAGTAGATACTGTGATATCTAGATAATTTTTCTTAATATAATTTTTTAAGGACTACTGAACAACAGCAACGATTCCATGAAATTTGTAGCAACATGGTGAAGACACGGCGTAGGATTGTTGGCTGGTGGAAACGTCTTTTTACATTTAAAGAGGAAAAGCCTAAAATGGTAATTTATATCATGTATGGTAATTATGTTCCTTTTAAAAACTATAATGTCACTTAAGCTTTACTGAATTCTGAATTGCATTGATAGTTACAGATTTCAGTAAAAGTACACATACTAATCTCATTAGATTTCAATATACCGTATTTTTCCGTTTATAAGATGCCCCAATTTATAAGATGACCCCCACATTTTTAACCCTAAATCAGAAAATTTGCTGCGACGAAAGGGCGGCATAATTACTTTCACCGCTGCTTTCCATGCCACTTCCTAAGCCCCATGGGGCTTAGCAAAAGGAGGCTTGATCCCTTCCCCCTGCCACTTCTTTTTCCTCAGCTTACTGAGGAAAGATAACCCTCGATTTTTAGTCTAAGATTGTAGACTAGATTGTAGACAAAAGAATATCTTATACAG